GTGTTGCGACTGAATCTGACCGAATGTTGTTGTGTGTGTGTGTGGTTTTTTGACAGTTTTTACGGTCATTGGTCATCAGTATTGACCATCTCCTCATCGAGGCTGCAATAAACCTTTTAGTTCGATCCAATTTTATTTTGAGTTGCAGTTTGATTAACGGCGATGGACGATGGCGCTATCAACGCCCCAACGGCGAGAGCGGCGGACAGACGGCGGGCACACCACTCAGAGTCAGGACCCAAACATTATATCTGAGAGCAGTTCCCCGCTCCCTGATTTCGTTTGGAGTTCTGGTGAAACTGTCACGGAACAACCGTACATGCCCGCTAACCGTCCATACGTGACACGATATGGACGGATTTCCAGGCCACCGGCTAGATACCCTGACCCGTAAAAAAAAAACATTATGAAAGTCCTCATGTCGTTCGAATAGTCTCCAGATTGTGAGATCTCTCTTAACAGGCATAAATTTGATAAATGTATGTGAGTTAGTTATCATCGTCACCCGTATGGTTTGCCCTGAACTGATCGTTACCGACAGGCATACGTCGCTGGGAGGCCACCGAGAAGTTCGAGGCGATGTTCGCACGTTGAAGGCGCTCGTTTTCCGACACCGCAGACGGCGCTCGATTCTCGACGCCGCCGCCTGCGCACACGGCATCGCATACGCCGACGGCGCGGGGTTCGCCAGCGTGGTGGACATCATCACCAACATGCTGTCGCTGAAGTGACACCTCCATGTGTACAATTACAGCCTAAGGCGCTATTTATTTAGGGGGGAGATGTGTTGGGTTATGTATTGTTATGTATTGGCTGTGTTATGCGTTGCGTGGCCGGGGTGGGGCGTCCCTCTCGGCGCGCTGCTGGGTGCGCCTCTGCGGGCCACCTCCCGCTGGGAGCGCCGCTGCCACCGGCGGCGCGGGGTCACGGCCGCAGCCGGGGGCGGCGCACGGTCTTGCCGAATACCAGATTAGCGCGAATTTAATCAAAAACCCGACTTTCGATAAACTGTTATTTATACCTATCAATGGGTAGGAAATTGTCCAAAGTTATCGGATAGAACCTTATTTTTTAAGCCACTTTATCATTTGAGGACTTATATCCCTGCCGAAAGTAGACCCACGCTCCGGTTCCTGAAATCGGGCTATGGTACTGAGAAATATGTCCAGTTTTCAATGTAAATTTTACGGAAGCTTCGAGAAGAAATATGAGAAAATAGCATATCAACGGATAGCACAATTCATGATGAAGCTGCTTCTGCTATCATGGTAGCTTTTCAATGAATAGTTTCTGAGTTTAATGAGTTAGAACAGGAGCCCTGCATGTGTATCGTTCTCACGATAGTATTTCATAAAGAAGTTGGAAAATGTCAAAATGGATAAAAATGGATATGACGATTAGGGCATGGCTGAACTCTCCGCACATTTCTGAACATAAGCGAGCAAGTTTCAGCTGCCACTTTTTGCCTATTTGCCGTCAATTCAGCTTTGAACATGTCTAGTCGGCCGCCCGGCGTGACCTGACCAAGGTCGGGGGCGGCGCGGCCGAACAGGCTCCAGCCTAATTAACTATCTCAAGCACACGGAATCGTGATTTCATGCACTCCTTGCAAGGTCCGATGCTTCACTTTTACATTATTGGCCTTACGTGACGTCATTTATGACGTCACTAGGGTAATAAGAGTTTTTCGTCAATAACTCCCGATCAAATTGAGCTAGCGAGTCGGGAAAGCCACCAATGGACTCAGGAAGACCTGCCGAATCGAATGATATGCAACATGGCCTCCTTCGACCAACTTCGTGATCTGGGGGGCTCTAACCTGACCTTGACCCGAGGTCAACACCTTAAGTTGACTGAAGCCGAACAAAAAGTATACCATTCGACGCACCTGAGCGAGGCGAACACGATGATGCCAAAATTGCGGCTCTGCGGCATTTTTTCGCGAAGTTATTAATAAAAAACGAATCCGTGCCTTGGGCCACTTGACCTGACCTCAGAGGTCACAGGTTAACCAGAGACCTTAAAATCGGATACCAGTTGCTGCGTCTCGTAACGGCACACACACTCGTTTCTTTCCGCGAGGCTCTAGTTTCATCAGGGGCGAAACAGCGACGGGGGTCGTACCCCTCCCCCCCCCTTCGGCCGGCGCGTATTTTGAAAACCAATAGGTCCGGCGAGGGGTAAATGTCAGTTTTGGAGCCAGAGAACCATTTTCAGTGGATCCGAGCGGCGCTGAGATTAAATTCGCGCTAAACTGGTCTTCGGCCACACTGTGCGGCGGTCATTCTGGACCGGGGAGCCGCCACGCGCGGGTGCTGCCGCTGGTGCTGCTGCTGCTGGTGCAATGCCTGTATTGAGCACCAATACACGACTGATGGATACGCTGCCTGTGGCCTAACAACTCTTTGATAAAACCTCGACTAAAGCAGGTTGGAACTAGCTCGGTCCCTCCATCGATACATCACCTCTGTGTAGTGGCGGCGGAATAGGGGGTGCAGGGGGTGCAGCTGCACCCCCATCGAAAAACATGGGGGTGCAAACATATCTTTTTGCACCCCCAAAATCCGTACAAGGGGCCCGTCGCACCATCCAATACAATTTCTCCTCAAAACCAGTGATCGGGAAACGAACACTGATGTGGAATCATCCGGGATGTCCAATTATGGTCAGGAGCGCCCCATGCTAGTCTTTGGGGCCCCCACACTGGCTAGAAGTGTCCCGAGCCGCGTTTGGTGCTCCACGCGGCATCTGAGGGCCCTCACGACGGCCCCAGAGGGCACTTTTATGACGATCTCTGAGGGCTCCCACGGCGACCTTTGTCCCCTGGGGTCCTACAACGGCCACTAAGGGCCCTCATGACGACCGCTGAGGGTCCCACAGAGACTCCAGGACCCCAAGGAGACTCCAGGGGCCACGCTGGCCTCTGAGGGCCCTATGACGGCCTCTGAGGGCCCCTATTGAGGGCCCTTACGATGATCTCTGAGGGCTCTCACGACGAACTCTGTCCCCTGGGGCCCTATAACGACCACTAAGGGCCCTCATGACGACCGCTGAGGGTCCCACAGGACTCCAGGGGCCCCACTGGCCTCTGAGGGCCTCTACAACGGTCTCTGAGGGCCCTCGTGACGGCCCTAGACCCAACTCAAGTCGGAGGGCCCATTTGGCTTCAGACGGCCCAGAGACGGTCTCTGAGGGCCCAACACAACCAGGCTGCAGGGGCTATGCTGGCATCTGAGGGCCCTGCAACGGTCTATTGAGGGCCCTAACAACGATGGCCTCTAGCGGTCTTACCAAGGCCTCTGAGAGCCCTGCAAAGGTATCTGAGGGCCCATGAGGACCCTCAATATGGCCAAGGACCCTCATGACGACCTCTGATGATCCTCTCGAAGGCTTCTAAGGGCCCTCACAACAACTTCTGAGGACTCCAGGACGGTCCCTGAGGGGCTGAGGGCCCTGACGACGACCTCTCTGGGCCCTCACGATGGTCTCTAAGACCCAACGCAAGCTCCAAAGGCCCACACTGGCGTCTGAGGGCCCCACGACGGCCTCTGAGGGCCTCGACGCAGGCAGGCTTCAGGGGCCCCGCCATGATGACATCTGAGGGCCCTCTTGACGGCTTCAAGGGCCAACGCTGGCCTCTGAAGAACCCTACGACGGCCTCGGAGGGTCTCAACTCAACGTAGGCAGGTGCCAGGAGACATGCTTGCCTCTGAGGGCCCCGCAGAGTTCAGCTTCAGAGGATCCAACGACCTTTGTGGACCTTACGAAATACGAAGGTCTCCGAGAGCTCACGCAGGGTCCTAAAATTCCACACTGATTCTCAGGCCCCATGTCGGCTTGTTGAGGCACTTTATTTGCTCTTGGTGCCCCGTCGCCGGCCTCTGAGAGTCTCAATGTCGGAACTTATGGGGCCATGGGACCTACACCGGCTTTTATGGCCCCTACATCGACTCTTGGGACTCATGACCCATGAAATGTGGGTCTAAGCGGCTTCTAAGAATCCCCATGCTGTTTCTAGTAGCCGCCAGCCGAATATTAGGGCTCAAACGCGAGCTCCTGGGACCCCGTGCAGACCCCAGGGGTCTACCTGCCTCTAAGACCCCACACATACTTTTGGGGCTCAAACACTTGCCCCTGAAGGCCCCACTGAGACCCCTTTCCTTTATTCAGTCCTCCATACCGGCTCTTTAGGCTAAACATCATGGAGGGCCTCCACACAGGCTTTTTTGGGGTCCGATGCCGGTTTCTGAGAGCCCTCAAAAGACTTTCGAGCCTATACTGCCTTCTGAAACCTTTCAGCAACTTTCAAGGGACCAACCCTGATCGGAGGGCTCATTCAGTCTGGGGAGTCATGTAGGTCTCTGGAGGAGTCTCTATGTGGTCGGTTTCCGAGGGGCTTCTAAACACGGTCTTCTTGGAACGGTCTCGTATGTAGGGCCCTCAATGGTCCACTGCGGATCCAGAAAAGTGGTTTGAGACGTTGCGGGTGGTGGCTAGACTAAAAGATTAGCCGATAAAAAACTAGCTGCATTTGCTTCCTTATGCTTTCATTATTCGAGATAGGTAGGTACCTACACTGCAATTTCAAACCTTTTACAGAACTTGTGTGTATGGGGATAGTTATCCAAAATCTTCGTTTTTCATAAATCAATAACAATCACTAAAAAACTGAAGGGGGCCCAAAACTTCCAGAGGGGCCCCTTGAGAAAACTTTGCACCCCCATCCAAAATTACCTTCCGCCGCCACTGCCTCTGTGACCCTAACTTTGAACGACACAAAACGACTCGAACCAGTCTCCGAAGACCACTGAGCTCACCAAAATCGTACCAGCACCGACTGAACAGCGGAGGAAGGGCTGGGAGCGGCCGGCCGCCGGGCAGTCCCCAGTGGACGAACCGGGCAGCCACGACAGAGATCACGACACAATCGTAACAACATCTCAACGGCGGGGGATGGGCTGGGGCGACCGGGCAAGCCTCAGTAAACTTGTCGGGTAGTCCTCACGGACGGAAGGGGAGCGGAGGACTCCCAGAGTCACAGGACCACAGGACAAAACACACAGGGCCACCGGTTGACGCCAGCATCCGGCCCGGCGGTCAGGAAGATCGAAGGTGACTAGGTGACCGCTGGCAGCGGACTGAGCAATACACATCACGGTACCTGGCCGTGCGCGTCTCACAGACAAACACCGATAGCCTGGATCCAGATCCGACACGATAGAGCGAGTCTGACGCAGACCAGCTCAGTCGCGACACAGGTCCGTCTGGAACTTCTCACATCACCTGACTGAGACTGGACGGAACAGCGATATCACATCAACCAGCGGCGGCTCGGTGCCGGCGGCGTAACGACTTCTGCTCGGCTTCGTATCAGCTTCACGGTGGGCGGGTCAGGGACGTCAGACACTCCACTGGAGGCCGGACAGGAATAACCTGCGCATTACTGACGATACACGAGTGGTTTTCAGGTCTGGCAAAAACGGTTGGCCTGGTTTCAGCGAGTCTGCTTCTCACGCCATCAGGGAACACATATACATACTGACACTGTGATAGTTGTTGAAGGAAACAATACCTGAGTTGTGCTACACCGATTTGTGCTACTGAGATCGCTCTCTCTCCAACAATGAAGCCAGTCTACAGCCGGCCAACATGAGCTTCCACGGCAGCAGAAGCTCGGCTGCTCAGTCTCCCCGTAACACCGTGTGCTCGTCTGCCAGCCCTGACTGGGTCAGACCTTACCACCCGAGTTCGGGTCCTCTTCAGCCCCGCCCACCTTCGTCAGCTCAGTCTGTCCGTAATCTCCATCCCTCCGCCGCCTCGGCCGCTCGCCCTGCTCAGTTGGGCCACATGCAGCAGCGGCAGACGAGTAGCCGGTGCAGCAGCGCTCCGGCCGTGTCCTCGCGGTGCAGCCGCAGGCGCAGCCACACCTCGCGCTGGCGCACGTACATCTCCGCCGGGATGTCGTCCGAGCGCAGCGAGCCGGCCGAGCGGCGCCCACCGGCCGCCGGCGCCACCTGGTTGGCGCGCGGCTCGCGCGGCTGGCGCTGCAGCAGCTGGGTGACGCCCTCCAGCTCGCGCAGCGCGTCCACGTCCAGCGCGTGCTGGCGCGCCTCGGAACACAGGTGCGGGTGGTGGCGCAGCCAGGCGCGCAGCGCGGCCACGTCCCGGGCCAGCTGCCGGGCGCCGGCCGAGCTGACCGCCGCGCCGGGAGGGCAGCAGTCAGAGACACGGACAGAGTCAAGGGGAAACAGGGGACTGGGGCGCCGGCCGAGCTGACCGCCGTGCCGGGAGGGCAGCCGTCAGAGATGCTGACAGAGTCGGGGAAACAGGGCTACATGCACTTCTCAGCTTGTCCAGCTTGTCACGTCAGTTATCCAGGCTAAGACCAGATAGACTGGCTCACAATGACCACGGACGCCATGGTTGTGTCTAACGGTGCTCATCGACTCACCTGAATTTGATGTTTTTCTGTACGATGTGCTCCATCCAGGCGTAGCAGGCGACTTTGACGACCAGCGCGCCGACGGTGAGCTGCAGGGGCGTGCCGAGACGGGACACGACAGACAGCACCTCCTCCAGTACCTCGCCTGGCAACGGGAGCCGTACAACGAGTTAATAGGGCGCTCTGATATAACGAGAGGGACATCGCCTGTCAAAAATGTCACCGGGTATTAGCAGGGTGCTCCGATACATAAAGTCAGAGGGTCCTCGCCGGCAGCCTGTCACGGAATATTCCGCTGGAGCGAAACACAAGATATTCAATCCGAAAAGAAGGCCGTCATCCTCTACTAATATTGGACAAATCGTGCGCAAATGCTTTCAAAACAGAACGACGCCATCAGCGGTATAGAGAACTTGCGCATCTAGCCACACGCTCACAGACGGACCAGGTCAGACCACGGGAGAACTCTCCCCACACACACATGGAACCACCCCTGGTCACCACATCACCCCAGGCAGACCATCCCAGGTCAAACCTTTCCTCCTACCCTCAGACGGTACCAGCAAGGATAACAGTAGGACACCCCCAGGCCCCAGACGGTACCATACCTCCCTCAGCGCTCGCTCGGCGGTACCACCCCTCCCTCAGCGCTCGCTCACCGATGAACGGCCGCACGTAGTCGCTCGGCTGGGAGGTGATGATGGCCGGTCGCCGCCAGTAGGCCTTCCCGGGCACCAGGCCGGCCAGCGACTGCAGCGCCGTGCGGCGGCAGGCGTCCGAAACAGACGACAGGTTCGCCGCCCGGCAGCCCTGCCGGCGTCAGACAATAGTCACAGTCATTAGTCACAGCATCCCCCACATGCAGGCTGTTCACGTCCAACTGTCCCGTCCACTACTCATTGAACTAGCTGCCAACCTGTCCATCGAGCCTGCCCGATTGCCCCGGCCAATGTCCACTACACCTTCCGCTTCCCAGTAGCAACCTACCCGGCCTGCCCACCTATCAACGCCTGTCTCTTACCAGTCACCCACTTCCTACCTGCAGCTGGAGGACGACGGCGTCCAGTTGCCGCCCGCTCTCTATGCGCTCCTGGATGGCCTCCTGAAGCTCCGGCGGCGGGTCGGAGACAGAGTCCAGCGGCGGACACGGCTGGAAGGAATGGACGAAGGTCAGTAAACACACAGCGGCGGACAAGGCTGGAGGGGGAGGAGTCAGTCAGCATACAGCGGCGGCTCGGGGACTGAGTCCAGCGGCGGATAAGACTGAGGGGGGCGGGGGATGACAGGTACTCAGTCACAACGCAATAACGGCGGGTTAGAGGGGCGCCAAACAGAGTGGTGCACGCTTAAAATGAGGTCGAGCTAACGATCCAGCGACGTCACCACCAAACACCACACAGGTGTTGCATTTGGGAAACCATTTGAAAATCGCTGAAGGATCGCGGGCCCAGCCCTATTCCGTCCCACCTGCAGTGAGTCGACGAGCTGGAGGCAGCGCGGCAGGTCGGCCATGGTCACCAGGAAGTAGGCCGAGGTCTGCCACTGCTGCAGCAGCAGCCGGCTGCGCGCCGTCACCCAGCCGCTCAGCTGGCGCAGCGCGGCGCCCAGCATCCGCTGCAGCAGCAGCTGCAGCCGCAGCAGCGGCAGCAGGTCGGCCGGCGGCGGCGAGTCCTGGTCGCCGGCCGACGCCGCCGCCAGCGCCGCCGACTGCGCCGTCAGCACAGAGTTCAGCTCTCCGACCAGGAACGAGACCGAGTCAAAGAACAGCTTACCTGGGGATACGGCGGGGAGCCAGGGTCAGACAGATCGCAGAACCACGGGCAGTCAGGGGCAGCGGATTGACGACCGTCTTAAGTTGGAGACTCTGGGTTAGAATGGCTGGATGCGCTCACACGGTCAGAGATAAGGTGACCCGACTCCCCCGGTATCGCCGAGCGTGCCCACACTCACCGCACTTGGTGCACTGCTGGCCACCCTCCAGCGGCACTGGCGCGTGCAGCGTGCTCTGACTGAGGTGCAGCGCCGGCGTCAGCAGCCAGCCGGCGTAGGCGGGCACCAGCGGCAGTCGCAGGCGCGCCGACAGCGACTCGGGCGGCAGGCCTAGTTCAGTCAGCTCCTCTGCGGCCGAGACGGAACGGCGATCGTTGACATGTTTCACGTGCTCTTATAGCTTAAGTCTTAACAGACACAAAGAGCGCGTCAAACAAAATTAAAGTACCCTAACTGAAAAATAGTTAAAACTAAAGAGCTATATTTTCTGTCCTGCTGGTTTCATCCCGTAAGCAATGCTTATTTTCGTATGTGTTACGGCTGCTACTGCGGCCCAGCCCCCGGTCACTGACACTCTCGGACCGGTGACACTGTTTCGTAACGCACCTGATAGCCTGTCGAGCGTCTCGGCGAGCCAGAGGAGGGCAGCCGGCGCTCCGGCGGCTGCCAGCGCGGGCCGGCCGGCCGCCGCGTCTGCGCGCCACAGCAGGCGCTGCTGGAGCAGCTCGCAGGCGGTACGCCACAGCTCGTCCCGGTAGAGCGCCACCAGCCGGCGCCGGCCGCTGCCCGTCAGACGGCCCTGGCACGGCACACACGCGAGAGGTGAGCTGAGGCCGGCGGTCAGTTACATACTGCATTGTTCATTGAAAAGGCGAGGGAACTTTGCAATACACATAAGAATTAATGTGTAAAATTGTGCTTGTATACACGGTAAAAATGTGTCGTATTAAGTGCATTTAACGACATTCGCATTTTGATGTCAATAAATAGCAAGTTACACATTTTGGCGTCATTTGTATTATCTGCTTAACAAAAACTGCCTAACGCATGCCGGCCGATGTCTTTTATGCCAAGCGGAGCCCGCTCCGAACCCGTTGTTCCGCTGAGTATGAGTACCCACTAGTGATGTCAATTACAGAAAATCGGAATAGGCCGATACCAAACCAAATAGTTACCAACCAAAACCGTGAGGAAATACCGAAACTGAACCAACCTAGGAACGTGAGGCAAATACCAAATTTATACCAATTTATCAGCCTCTTACATATTAGTGAGGGGGTTCATAATACCAACAAAATACCAAATATATAATAGAGGATTGAAATACCAAATGCCAAGTTGGTATCGGTTTTGGTATCGGTATACCAAAATGTTGGTATCCTATTGACATCTCTAGTACCCACCTCTGGCCCGGCGGCGCGCAGGTGCGGGTCGAGCAGGCGCCGGCCGCCGGCCGGTACCGCCAGCAGCAGACTGTGCGCCGCGTTCTCCTCGTGGGTCAGCAGGCGGGCCAGGTCGGCCGGCGGCGCGCGCTCGGCCCGCTCGGCGCCGGCCGCGTCACCCTCGCCGCCGCTGCTGGCGTACCCCGAGGTTGGGGAACTGCGCTCGATCAGGATGGTCGGGATGGGCGGCAGGCGGAGCGCCGCGCCGGACGCCGACTCGTCATCGCCGGCCGGCGCGGCCGCCCGCCGGGCCGGCCACTGCTGGCGCAGCAGGCTGTCCAGCTCCAGCTGCTGGCCCAGCCGCGCCTGCAGCGTGCCGGCCAGCCGGGCGGCGCGCACCTGCGCCAGCCGGGCGCACAGCTGCTCCACGGACGGCGGCCGGCCGGCGGCGGCGCGACTGAATGTCAGCCGGAACAGGCGCAGCCCGGGCACGGCGGCCGGGCCGCGCCGCGCCGCCGCCGCCGCCGCCAGCAGCTCGCCCTGGGTGTGGTGCACGGCCGCCAGCAGCGCCAGCACCTTCTCCAGGTGCGTGACGTCGGCGCGGCTGTACACGCGGAACGCGGCGAGCTCCAGCAGCAGCGCCACGGCCGCCGACAGCGCGCGCACCAGGCAGGCCAGGCCGGCGCGCACGGCCGCCTGGCGCCGCTGCAGCCGCTGCCGGAGGTGGGCGCGCGGCCGCCCGCGTGCCGCCACCGCCTGGCCGGCCAGCCGGCGCCAGGTGGCACAGTGACGGCGCAGCTCGTCCGCCAGGCCATCCTCGGCCAGGAACACGCCACTTAGCTGGCCATCTGAGAGAGGCGGTGGCTGCGCTTCCAGCTCCTGGGCCAGGCCGGCTGATAACTGGCGCACATGGCGAGTCAACTCTGCCAGTTCTGCCTCCAAAGCCGTCAGCCCAGCCACTATCTCACTGCAGGAGGCTGGCATTGGCTCAGGATCATCAGTCTCCACAACATCCTGATCCTCGTCTGGCACAACCATTCAATTTAATCTGAAAAATTCAGTTGGGAAGAATTCATCATATGACATCAGTCAGACTGATAACATGCCAAAAAGCATTTAAGTTGGATTAGCATATTGATAAGATGCAACCATATGTTCCAAGAAAATAATATCCATGGCTGGTTATAGGGTCATTTTAAATATTTTCTAGGTCTCAGGTGTATATTCTAAAAAATATGGGGAATGTGCTGACTGCTGGTCAACCTGCAGTGCAACTTGTTTATAGTATAGCCTGTGGCATGCTGCTCTACTATATGGGTATCAGTAACTTGATCTTGAAGACAACAAATCCAGGCTCGTCCGCCGACAGCCCGTCCATAGCACTATGTGATGTGAAATATTTTAACATTGCAAATGCATCATACCTTCACCCCAAAACGGGGGTATTGATTATATGTATGTCAAATGGCTGCAGTATGTCTCAAACTTTAAGACTTGATCCGAAATACCTATACTGTCGGAATAAAACAACGCATTTATCATTTATGTCATCTATCATGTCATTTATCATGTTATGTCACACGTAACCATGCAAACAATCTAAAAAAGAATGTTTATTTGACCTTTTAAAATATCTTATCCTCTTAACAGAATGTGGTAAAATGGGCACTAGACACGTACCTAACGAATACAAAATCACATAGGTATCTATGCCTAACCAATGTTATTATCTTTAATCACGGTATATCAATATAGAGAACTGTCTATGTCTATTAGGTATGTTATTATCTTTTTTAGATAATATTTTCGCTTGATATCAAATGCCATCTGCGTTGGAATTGTACCCAGCAGACAACTATTTTATTTGTGTTTGCAAAAAGTAATCCTGAAACCAAATAAATTGAGTTTTACTTCAATTTTGAGCATCAAAAGTATTTAACTTAATATGAGTTATGCAGTTCTAATCTGCATACATCAAAATACCACAAAATACTACAACATTTCTGTATTTTAGAAGCAAAATTTGATATTTTAAAATCTTGAAATTTATAAAGACATATTCAGCGCACGTGATTCAATAAGTCAGCTGATGAATCACTGATGAATTGTTCTCGTGCGGGCTCTCGAAGGGAGATGGGTAGGTAGCGTTGCATCATAATTCCCGTTGTAACACGTCATCTTTGTGGTTCTCGAGATCGTGCGGAAGGTGCTGGCTGCTGATAGTTGAGAAACAGTATTTGTGACTTACTGGTGTGTGCAGGAGTGGAAAAGTTACCCGGCTGAAAGTTACCCCGGCCTATCTTATCTGTAAGAATCTTGCTCCGGCCACGGCCGGGGTCAGGGTGGCCGGTTCTCCACCCATGGGTGTGTGGTTCAATTTCGATTTGTGATTTGATTGGTGCTGTAAGTTATAACCCAACCACACACAATCTGAATCTAATAATAATAATAATAATATATTCATAAGGATAGCTTGAAACTTGATGGCAAGAGGTGCATGCCGTAGATTATTGCTATGCTATTTGCGAATTGTGTATCCAACCTACAGTGATACAGCCACCTGTATAATTAAAAAATAAGCCCTGAATAGTAAGATTGAGACCGAGGGTAAATGTCAAGATAAAGTCCTAAGCAGATTTCATTGATAAATTTTTCATATTTTTACATTATTTGACATCCTGAATCCAAAAATGATACTCATATGTCTCGCAAATAAAAGAAAAAACATAATCAAACCTGACCTACCCTTACCTACTTACCTTTAACCTACCAACCTACAACCTAACAACCTAAAACCTACAAACCTACCTGTCTACAACCTAAAACCTACAAACCTACAACCTAACCTAACCTAAAACCTAAAATTTTTGCTGTTACATATTTGTATCAACAGCATCACAATTGAAGTTAGGACCTAAACTTGACATATACTGACATTTTTTATGCCATGCATACAGGTGTTTGAGGAAGGCCAAGTAGAGAAGAAATCATGAGCATTCACTGGACACTGATCGCAGGATTCCTGTATGCTGAAATAGCTGCGGTCCTGCTGCTTCTACTGCCCTTTATTTCCCCTAAGAGGTGAGTCCACATTTCATTGTTATTTTTTTGCAAAATAAACTGGTTTTTGATTTTTGTTAGAATTGAAACCTGGATATTGCTTCTAACTACATATTCAGCTATACCAAATTTGTATAAAAAATGTTAAAATAATAGGGATCCTACAAAAATCAGGGTTTGATTTTACCAATGTTGAACTGTATAAACCAATTTTCATGAACCCTAGGTGATGCTTGCTTTGCCCACCATTGCAGATGGAACAGCTTTTTCAAGTCAGGGTTCCTGCAGGCCCTTGGCAAGCAGTCATTCTTCTACTTCTGTGTGGTGATCACTGTACTGGTCCTGTCCTTTCTTGGTGAGTGGTTGTGTGCTTGTTGGTAAGCAACAAGCATAATGGAGCAGTGCTCCATCACGCCTGTTGCTGGGACCTTTCTGCATCATCTGAATATTGTAGTGCAAACGAACTTGTACCATTTGTCTCAAGTTTTGGATTCAGTTTTCATTCATTTTTATTGTATTTTAATTGTTCAAACGCTTTTTTAGAAGACCTGCTTATCCTTTTAGATGTGCGCACTGCGCTAGCATGGGAGCTTTTCAGGAGTTTGCATGTGGAGTTAAATGATGTTGATCTGCATCGGGTCATGTTCCAGACGCCATCCGTGAGATGAAAAAGTACAGCGGCGAGTCGAAGAGCGACGAAACGGCTCACGGCCACCTGGACGTGGAGATTCAGCACCACATGCGCCTGTTCCGCGCCCAGCGCAACTTCTACATCTCCGGCTTCGCGCTCTTTCTGTTCCTGTGAGTAGTGGAACCAGTTGTTCCCTAAGCTATTTACAATACCATTGCAGACGCTGTATGACATTGCTCAGACTGCTGATGGTACCGCATTGTGGGCCGTGGGGTTATTTTCCGTACCCCGTTGGACGTCCCGTGCTATCCACCCCCATCCCCCCTCGGCCTGTCACCGCCGCCGTCCGTGTGTCCGTGTGTCACCGTCCGTCCGTGCCCGTGTGTCACCGTCCATGTGCCCGTGTGTCACCGTCCAGTGCCCGTGTGTCACCGTTCGTGTGCCCGTGTGTCACGGCCCGTGTGTTACCGTCCGTGTGCCCGTGTGTCACGGCCCGTGTGTTACCGTCCGTGTGCCCGTGTGTCACCGTCCGTGTGACACCGTCCGCCCGTCCGTTGGCAGGGTGCTGCGCCGTCCGTGTGTCACCGCCGCCGGCTGTGTGCCCGTGTGTCACGGTCCGTGTGCCCGTGTGTCACCGCCCGTGTGTCAGTGTGTCACCGCCCGTGTGTCAGTGTGTCACCGCCCGTGTGCCCGTGTGTTACCGTCCGTGTGCCCGTGTGTCACCGTCCGTCCGTGCCCGTGTGTCACGGTCCGTGTGCCCGTGTGTCACCGTCGGCCCGTCCGTCGGCAGGGTGCTGCGCCGTCTGGTGACGCTCGTCTCGCTGCAGGCCTCCCTGGAGGCCTCCAATGAGGCGGCCATGCGACAGGCAGCCGGCGCCACCAGCGCCGCCGAGCAGCTGCTCCAGGGCCGGCCGGACGGCCAGACGCCGCAGCTGGACGCGCTGAAGAAGCAGCTGGAGGAGACCGAGCAGGAGCGCGACGAGGCGCTCAAGAAGGCCGAGATGCTGCAGTGCCAGGCGGAGGCGACGAGTGGCGAGTACGATCAGCTGCTGGCAGAGCACGAGAAGCTGCAGCGGCAGCTGAACGTCTCGGGCGATAAGAAGGACGACTGAGCGGCGCCCGACTGTCGCCGGACGGAGATCGCGCGGTCAGTCAGAGAACCCAGGCCAGGAGCGGCGTGAAGGAGCGTTCGACATCAACTGCAGGTCTGAGGAAGACCGACGGACAAGTGTCAGATGATATGGAATTGGAAGAGTCTGCTACTCGGTCTGGACTGGTGTCGATGACTCTGTTGGTTTGCTGAGTGATACCCTATAAGCGCCTCAAGGTCGAGGTCACACCTTTCCGGAGATGTCATCCGTGTGTCCCAGGACCTTTCTCCGAGCCGGGCCAGCTGTAAGGTAACGCACGTGAAAGTGCTTGTTTTTCATACGCGCCCTGAGCTGTGATGATAGCCGCAGAAGGCAGTCGTCAGTTGTGGCCGGTTTAACTGTTTGCTGTTATGATGCTGCGTGCCGTTGTTTGCCGAGGTGTGCCGATTTCATTGAGATAAGCCGACATCCTTCAGGATTCAGACCGTCTGGTTACTTTTTCGCCCGGTACACTTAAGCGCCAACCGGTTTGATGTTTGTCTTGGCATTACTCGGCATTGAAATTCTCTGCTTAGAACAAGCCTGCCTTTGCGTGGATTTGGATCTCTTTGCTGTGAATGTTTGGCGATCTTCTTAGATTTTCGTTTTTTTTTTAATAAATTTAGCCACGGAGTGTTCTGAATGGACATTTTTTTTTTGTTCGTGTTTGAATTGCTCTTGTGAAATGTCTTTCTTTACCTTCAGTACTGTAACTCCCGCTGAACTTATCGATCCACCTCAGCGGCCCCAAAGCTCCAGTGACAGGAGCGAATGCGTCAGAGCGGTTTTCTTATCCCTTTTCTTACAATGTGTAACTTCGGAGCTTTCCCCGTCATACTCGTCATTGTGTTGCGCGGCGCTTCTAACCATTGCAGCGTGATTTGATACGTGTAACATGGTAACAGGAAATAAACAAGTGAAATTTTCGTGAACGTTTGAATTCTGATTGTGTACCCAGTGACTGTGACTAGTCCCGAGAGTCCCGAGATAGCTATCACCTGTAGTATCGCACCCCTACAGTGCCTACACCTCTCCCCGCCTGCCGCGTCGTCAGACAGTGTTGACGTTCCGCCTTCCCGCCAATCTGGGGCCCGGTGGGCGAGACTAGTGTATTTCGAACGGCGGCCGTCACCGTCACACAGACGCGAGAACCGATCCTCGAGAGCCGATCTCGGGACCCCTCCCTGGGAACTGATCTAAGGGTCCATCCGGCCACGGGCAGACGGGAGAACCGACTCGGTAGCTTCGACTTGATGTGCAACGCTCGATAACACTACGATAAGCGATAGTTTATAGGCAATCAAGTGAGGAAATTCAATGAGGATGCCACCTGATGCCACCCATGCGGCGATACACGAACCTGCCACTACACTAGTGTGATATCAATCACTTTGGCATCAACCAGGGAGCGCGGTAGTTGGTCTACCAGTGCTTCTATCCATGCCAAGCACCGTACACCATTTCCGGTGCAGTGTGGAGGAGCGAATGTCACCGGCATTCACTGGCATACCAGCGCGTGATTCGTCAACACACGACTCTTACCATATCCTTTTATTGGAATGCCAATATAAGGGCCCTCAAATCATAAGGGAAGCAACGTGACTTTAGCGCCAGACCGGTACGATATGTTGCACCCCAAACACCCAGATAGTAGCCTATGCACGCGTAATATCGATACACAGCGTGGCGCGCGCGGCTGACTTCAAATAAAAAAAAATCACAAGCGTCCACCGATGATTCCAGCGACAGAAATAATTCATTGGTCTTAGCTGATCTGCGGTGCGCCAACGAAGCTGACAGACGAGGGCCGTGCCCGGAGCGGTGCGGCGCCGGCGCCGGCGGGGCGCGGCGGCCGCTGCCGGCCGGCCGGCCGCGCCCGGTGCCCGGCGCCGCTCAGATCAGCCGCGCTGACAGCCCGGCCACACGGGCTGGAATGGTGCAGCGCTGCGCGCCCGCGCGGCGGCCGCTACTGGTCGTCCTCCAGCGTGTGCGTCACCTTGGAAAAGTCGAAGTCGCAGCCGAAGCCGCGCCGGAAGATGTCCAACACGTCCAGACAGGTGGTCTCGAAGTGGCTGGTGGCGTCGTACGAGCTGGAGATGAACACCTGCGACTCTGTGCCGTCCTCGTTGGGCACGAAGTGATCGTTCACCGTCAGGAACCTGAGACGGGCGGGGAGCAGCCACAGTCAGTGGACGCCGCCGCGACTCGATACCCAACGGCCAACACTGAAACACTTCACTCGTAGCAAGTGGCGCAATGTCGAAACGAGATGAAAGATACGTAGCAAAATGATACGGCAAGTGGCCTACCATCATAACTTTGTCACAAAAGTACGCAGATACTGATGCATTATTTGTTAATCCACAATGCGCCATAAGCCTGCCAGTCATCATAATGCCCTTGCTCATTTCCGTAAACCCCACCCATCCTGTCACGTCCTTCCCTGCCACCTACTTTTGTTTGATGGGCCCGAGCAGCTCGAGTCCCGGCTTGATCTCTGCCTCGGGGTTGTCCGTCTCCACAGTGGTAGACACCATGGCCACGAACCAGCCCTTGGCGGCCACCTGGTGCGTGTACGATACCAGCGAAATGTAGATGTCTGCCGCAGACGGTGACATTAGGTTAGTGACGGGGGGTAACACTGGTCAGGGACGGGGAATGGGGGGGGGGAGGCAACGGTCAGGGACCGGGAATGGAAAGAAAGCAACGGTCAGCGACCGGGAATGGGAGGAATGCAACGGTGTGGGGCGGGGAATGGGGGAAGACACCAGCAGACTCGGGTGCTGTTGAGGACAGAGTGAGGGGGACCCGCCCGCTGACAGACAGGTTGGGACAGCCATCGGGGCTGACGGGCAGGGTGAACAACACCATTCATCGTATTCTCCACCAGTTATTAACGATTTGTGACAGGTAAGATTGTCACGTTCAGCTAACGTCGCGTTTATCGGCTAGCCTGAGCATAATTTTGTGGAAAGTCCACTCCGTGCCGTTGACTACGTGCCGTTGACTACGAGACCAGGGCCCTGCTCGCTCGCTGTTTTTATATCAGCGTGCTGTCGGTTTTCCCCATATAAGGAAGTTACTGCTGGCGCGGCTTGGCCTCTCATTGGTCTAGCGAATAGACCACTTGAATTCGACCAATGAGGAGCCAAGAAGTAGCAGCATGGTCGCAGCCTGCTGATAAATAAACTGGGTGCGAACAGAGCTGAGATATGCGATAACAGTATTTTAAACGAGTCTGATGAGTTTCCCTTACGTTAATGACAAAAACATAACCAGTGGTCTGTAAAACCACCAACATTGTCTGTTCCTGTTTAACAAAATCCACAAGAATGCCGTCTCAAGCCTAACAGCCCTACCCGCAGACACGTCGGCGCTCGCTTCCCTCCCCCGGCGCCGGACTGAGGGGACCAGGCACTCGGGAGGGGTCTGAGGTTTCACTCACCAGAGTTCCTGCCGACCTGTTTCTGCGGGATGATGATCTGCGTGGAGAGCGCGTCCTTGGTGTTGGGGATCGGGTGGTCCAGCAGGCAGATGCAGCGCACCACCCGGCCCGACTGCAGGGGAGGGCATACAGCGTATCAACACAGAGCGCGCACCACCCGGCCCGACTGCAGGAGGGCACACATCGTGTCAGTACAAGACGCATCACACCAACCGGCCCGACTGCAGGAGGGCACACAGCGTATCAACACAGAGGGCGCACCACCCAGCCCGACCGTAGGAGGAGGGCACATAACGTCACCGTTCCGTCCTTCTATCCTCAGGATACTGAAATCCTTCTCCTCCACGCCGCAACCCCCTTCCGGGCTGGACAGGCAACTTTATCTCATGCGGGCTGCTCCCTTGGAGCGGCACCGCTGCTCCCGAGGGAGCGCACCCCGTAGCCGGGTGCAGTGAGTACCTTGGGGCTGGGTGGCCTGTCCTCTGGACGGGCTCAGCCCCGGTGACTCACTAGGGTGCCTGCCCAGACCAATGTCTCCCCCTATATCCTATCATCCTCCCGGCTCTGAAATGGTCCCATTGGACCGAAAGGGCCTAACCCAACAAAACAACAAACAACAAACACATAACGTGTCAGCACAGAAAACAGGTGGGGCCACCGTCGACCGCAGCACAGCCCACCGAAAGGAGGCACAGGAGAGTAGCGGGAAACATTAGACGGCAATGCACAACTACACACAATGACGACGGTAAAACGGCACCATTGGTGAATATAAACACAGCCGCGGCCAATACCTTATTTTTGGCGCCGTGTCATTGTCTTGCAGACGCGGCCTTACAATTAATCCCTATTCCCTCAATATAGCTGAACACTACCTCCATTTGAGCTACAAAGGAGAGGTATGATATGAATCTGTGTCTACGTACCAAATCGGCTAGGTCGCTTATTACTGCAAAATTATTGCTGATATTTGACTGTATTGGCGCACCAGGTGTCGTTATGGTCACATATCTTATGGTCTGAATCCTGTCCGATCTTCTACTATTGATAGGAGAGATGAGTTATCACGTGCACGCAGAATACTGCCCGTCGAGTGGCCGCGAACCCACATAAATATAGAGCACGCAGGAGCAAGAAAAGGTCGAGTCAGGTCAGGTCAATCCCTGAAAACGCGTATGAACTCGCTCGCTTGGTGAACAATACACCACAGACCAGGCACGTATCCAGGATTTCGCTCAGGGGGGGGGGGGGGGCGACAGCCGAGAAGGGCCCGGAGGTCAGCCAAAAGGGGCCCCACAGCGACTGCCTATCCTGGCGTGTAAAAATTCGAGAATGTCGAAAAAACAGCAAATTTACGATAGAATTTGGCATTGTAAATGAAAATGCATTGTCTTGCGTTTCTCGACCTTGATAACATGTTTGCATTTAGCTTCCGTTTTTGCAGTTCACTTCCGTTGAAGTTCGTTAACCCGCGCCCGGCCGGGGGGGGGGGGGGCTGTTTGAACACCTCCTCCTTGCGGTTTTGCGTGGATATAAAAAAGAGCATAGGTGGGCACGATCCGTTCCTCCGTTCCTCCGTTCCGGAACGCCGTTACAATTTTTAGGAACGGAGGAACGGACTCGTTACATTTTAAAAAGGGTAACGGACCAAGTAACTTCCGTTACATTGGTTGTTCGTTCCTCCGTTACAAGTTAACAGTTTAGTCCGTTCCTCCGTTACTTTTCGTTGTCCGAGCGGGTTGATCTTTCAGCTAACCCACAGACATTAATGCAGCAGCGGAATAGTGGATTATTGAGCAGCCCTGACTTGAAGACGGAAGATGGCCTCAGTGTACACTGTACAGTGTACTGGCCTTCCGCAATGAGCCGGCGTTGCAGTATGTGTTCGCAAAGTTCAACACGGGCGTCCCTTCAAGCGCCTCAGTAGAGCGCATGTTCTCAATGGGAAAAGATGTGCTACGTGCAAAAAGGGCTACCCTCTCAGAAAGTGGCAGCGGAACATCTTCAATTAAAGGGACTATCCCACATTTAACATGGGGTTTGAGTTGAGATAGCCAAGTTTGCGGCGAGGTTCAGAAACCACTATCTATCTAGGTTGCAACCCCCGCGGCCTCTTGGTGTTGAAGAAATTCGTTCCCTTCATTTGAAAATGGGCCTTGTACAAGGCCCTATCTTCAACATGGAGCGACCGTTAGTGAGACGTCACCTCGTTTAGTCATTCTGATTTAAATGGGTTTGTTCGTTGAAAAATCGCTTAAAACTTGGTCTGAACTTTGTTGTGGTGCCTACAGAGTAAAAAGAATCAGCTTTATGACAGTAATGTGGCCTGGGGAAGGAGGTAATTTTGGGCTGTGACGTCACATATTTGAAAGTTTGTGTTTGGAATATGGGAAGCCTAAGATGTTTAATGAAAAATAAATGCCAGAACCGTGTTCCTGGTCATCCAATCTATAAAGTCGGGCACAATTTAACTGGTTTTAACAACATTTTAGAAGGTGGGATAGTCCCTTTAACCCTCGCACGACCAGGCCATTTCTCATAACACGAACGACCAGGGGGGGGGGGGTTGTTACGACCCCCCCTGGCGTTTCGAAACGGAAGGTCGTAGAGCTTAGCGGAAAAAACCAACGGATTGCTCTCAACGAGATCTCGCGATTGGTGGTATATTTTTTGGTCCTAGGTCAACATTTGACCTACTTATGACCGGTCAAAGGTCAAATTTTCCGAAAAAATCAAACTTTTTCGACTTTCCGCGGCGATTGCGGCAAAACGGTGGGAGATATCGACTTGAAACCTTCACTAACTATCGTGTTCCTTGATCAATTCTCTATCGTTTGGTATGTATTTCGTTTCCCTAGCTCTAAAAATGGCGCGTTGGGAGCGCCGGAAGTCGGCAAGGTCACAGTCGGCGGCAGAAATTCGAAAAATCAAAATTTAAATTTTTGAAATCTGATTGTATTTTTGGATTTGGGAGGTCCATTTGCTCCCTATAGAAGCTAATATTGCTGCATATTCCCATTGAGGTGACAAGAATTAGCAAAATAGTGGTTCGGGCGCTTTTCAAAAATAGTACCGGACGCTGTTCCTCTTGTGACGTCATAGCTCCGTGACCTGACCTGACCCGGTCAATTTTCTTGCACCACACGATAGCCAATGCTTGCCCCAACATGCATGGGAAGTTTCATCATGATCCATCAAACAATGTGGGTATCACCGGCAGAAAACCTAGGGATTCGGCGCACACGTTTGGTAACTGTCGGCCGGAGGCTGTACCTCTTATGACGTCATAACTCCGTGATCTGACATGACCCGATCAATTTTTTTTCGGCAAAAGATGCGAAAAGGTTGCCCCAGAGGGTATTGAAAATTTCAGCCCGCTACGACAAGCCGTTTAGCGTGCACTTCGAAAAAACCTCAGGGGGGGGGGTTGATACAACCCCCCCCTAGGCGTTCTAGGGTTAAGGGAGAGGGGGGGGGGGGGCACTGCCGACTTTTTGTCCCATTCTTTCCATGCAACGCACATAGGGCTAATGTTAAAATGCCAAAATCAAAGGGGGCACGGTGCGCCGGTGCCCCCCCCCCCCCCCCGTTCCGCCGCCTATGCTCTCAGATGCCAACCTGGAACGTCTAGTGTTCGTGAAGTGCAACCGGCATCTGGCCGGGGACAAGTGATGCGCATCAGTACCACCAGACGTTCCAAGGTTTAGTGTCCAATCAGTGCCCACTGTCTTGGTAGATTTGGTGGGCATTCCGCTTTCTCGGTAGGTTTAGTTGGGTCAGAATGGTCTCAAAAATGTTTGAAATACCCAACATTTTAACGTTTTTTATTTTGCTGTAACGGAGTAACGGACTAAAAGAACTTCCGTTACATTATATACAGAGGAACGGAGGAACGAGTAACGGAAGTCACGTTTTGAGGGAACGGAGGAACGAGTAACGAAGTTACAATTTTGGGGAACGGTGCCCACCTATGAAAAAGAGGGATGAATCTTATCTACCGATATGAAAATTTTACACCCAGGTCGCTCAAGGTCAGGTCACCAGACCACGTCAAGTGACCTCACCTCAGAAAAGGTTAGAATGCTCTCCATAGCAACACCGACTGAACGATCGGCTTGAAACTTTTAGCGATTGATAAGAGTAACAGTATGTATAAAATGATTATCTCGAAATTTGCATACCGGTGGTGACATAAAGTCAAGTCAATTTTTGCGCCCTCTCCATTAGGTTTTATAAATGGTAGAAAATCGAAAGGTGCCTCTTTTAGGCAAACGTCATCCTAGGCACCCTCAATCACCTGGTTACATAAAAAATGACAACCTAAATCGGAAATTTGTACCCGTGACCCCTCCTTATGTCTATGGGGTCATCTCAGGTCACGAAACGTCTCCACAGCTTTTGACAATAGCATTTGTTAGAGACACGCTAGAGCGTTGAAAACACCTTAGATGTGTTCAGGCCTTATCGACGATACGGTTTGACGGATGTGCAACATGACCTTTCAGGTCAGGTCACCTTGAATTCAGTTCAAATTTTCTAAATGACCTGATAAGGTCAAATTATATGTAGTTCATTCGACGCGTCTCGACGAGAGTAACACGATGCTGACAGAAGAAATGTCGTGCCTTTTCCTGAGTCGAAAATTGTTAAAGAAAAAAAGTGTTTCATAAAAACGACTATTTTAAAAGTTTTTTTTTTCTCTCAAGAGGCTAAACCGTTAACCCGAGCACCGACGGGGGGGGGGGGGCTGTTATCCGCCCCCCCCCCTTGAGGTTATGCGGGAATACGCGCCGCGAAATTTGGCATGACTATTTTCTCATTAATTTTACACATGGTGTGCAAGTTTGAACCTCCTAACTTTTAAGGTCAGATCACCAGGTTACTTCGAATGACCCAACCTCAGATCACTTTTTTGCAACTTTGTCACGTCGTGTCAGAGCTACAGTAGATAACGGAGTATGATTCGATGCGGATTGACGAGAGGATCACGATGGTGCCCTTAGTTTGTTCCTAGCTTGGCTAATTCGAAAGTTATTCGAGAAAAACTCTTCGTATCTAGCGCCGCCATTTTGACTTTTTTTACCCCTGTGACGTCATCTTTGACCTGATCTGGAAATGACCTAATTAAAAATTGTAGACCTTGTCCGTGCGTACCCCATGCCGTTTACCGCTTGTCGCTATCTTGCTTCGTTCTTGAGATCTCAGGGGGCGGGCGGTCATCCGCCCCCCCCCCGTCGGTTCTAAGTTGGCGCGGACCCCCGTCGGTGCGCGGGTTAATCGCAGGTCAATTCTGAGAACAGTTTACGGAAAGAACGTTAAAAGAACTATTGAATGCGTTTTTTTGTGGCGCTGCAGCTCTGTTTGTACCCGGGTTATGCGCCGGAGTTGTCAAACAATGTTGAAATAGGCAAAATGTGACCTTTGCTGACTTATGGTGACCTGACCTTTGACCTGACCTAGAAAATGACCGAGTTACTTTCGGCATGATTTTTTACGCTCTTCCGAATGCCACGTACGCTTACGTGTCGCTACGTGGCCCAGGAGCCGAGTTAGAGAGAGAGGGTGTTCAAACGCCTCCCCCACCGCCTGTCCCAAACGCCATCCGTGGCGCAACTATGGAGCTCATTTTGTTCGGAGAACTGTAAACAGGAGCAGCCCCATGAGGTCAGTCGAAAGGGTCCCATCATCGGCTGTTGCCTGTTCCTCGGGCCCCATGGCCTGGGCAGGGCCTTCTCAGCGGGCCCTTCCGTTTCTGGGACCCGGCCAGGACAAGCTGTTTCTGAGACTGGGCACGGAAGTGTATATCTGGGCTCGCTTTCTTGATACGTTGTCGAGGCCGAGGGACCAATACTTAAGCTCAAAAGCCTGCTTCAAGGCTTTCTGAGCGGGCCCTTCCGCTTTTGTAGACCTCCCGGGCCCCCGGTTGTCATTGGCTTGGCCCGGTCCGCTTGTGGGGCCCGGCTAGGGACCCATATGAGCACTGGCAAGACCCTATGGGCCCTTTTTGGACCCGAAAGCCTGGGCAAGATCTTCTCAGCGGGCCCTTCCACATCTAGGGCACAGACAGGCCCTGTGACTGGGCACGGAAGAGGATTTTTTCGGATCCGCTAACCATAACTTCTCCGGGGCCAATTAGCTCAAAAGCGATACCTTTGGGCCCGATAAGGGACCCGTTTGGAGTCCGGCAGGGCCATAGGGGCCCTTCCTCAAGCTCGAAGGCTCGAGCATATCCTTCTGAACGGGTCTTTCCGCTTTTGGGGCCCTGCCGGGCTCCAAATTGCCCTCGCTCTGCCCAAAAGTGGGCCGAAGGGCCCAGTTACGGACCTGTTTGTGGCCCGGCAGGGCCCCAGGGGCCCATCCGCGAACCAAAAAATTCGAACAAATCCTTCTGAACATGCCCTTCCGCTTTTTGGCCCAGCCGACCCCAAATTGTTCCTGACTAGGCCCCAAAGCGGGCCCTTCGGGCCCGCTTTCTTGCCGCCTAGCGGGCCCTGCCGGGTCCGCTTTTGGGGCCCGGCAGGGCCCAGGGGGGGGGGGCGACCGCCCCCGTCGCCCCCCCTTGGATACGTCCCTGCCACAGACCAGTCTTCTTATACATACACCTTGCACAACTCTCGTCAACTTTCAGAGACGTGCAGCAAAAGCTGGCTCAAGATCAGCATCCCGTTTCCGGCAGACATGTTCCCGTTATAGTTTCAGCGGCTACAGCGGTTGTCGAAGTTTCAGCAATGGTTGGCTTATGGCTACTAGTTCAGCACCCTTGGTCCCACACGGGACCCTGACCGGAATCCTGGTGGCTACCCTTGCCCCTTGGTGACCTGCTGATCTACGCTTCATTACCTTGGTGACCCTGCCGGGACCGTCCCTCAACCGGTCTGTTATGTCCCTTACCCTGGTGACCCTTTCGGTCCTGCCCCTTACCTTGGTGACCATACCGGGACCGTCCCTCGCCCTGCCGTTATGTCCCTTACCCTGGTGACCCTGCCGGACCTATCCCTCACCTTGGTGACCCGGTCGGGCACGTAGGTCGGGTCGCAGTACACCTGTTTGCACTTGGCCACCTCGGTGCCGGAGCGCACGCCGACGGCGCGGCCGTTCTCCACCACAATCTCGTCCACGGGCTTGTCAAGCATGTAGGTGCCGCCGTAGATGGCGGCCAGCCTGCGGGAGGGAGGGCAGGGCGGAGCGGTCAGCACAGCCAGGGGAGGGCGGAGCGGTCAGCAGGGCCGGCGGGTCAGATAGGACAGGTCGACAGCGGTACCGGTCACAACTGGAGGAGATGGCAACATTGACCACAGCTCAGGGCATTGATTAAAGGAAGGGTGCCACCTTTTGGACACAACGCAGTTTTTACAAGATTAGCCTCACATGAACCTAAAAACCGGCTTCACTTACCTATGCTCGAGACGGTCAGCATTGAATCCGCACGTAAAGTTATCATTTGCGAGTTTTGCTGCCAGCATTCGGGCAGGCAAAAATCTTCAGCACTATTTCCTCGTCGTGTTAAGGGTATTTTATAAAACATGAAATCAGCAAAGGTATGTATAAAAGTTATACTTTTGAAGCATGTTTTATCATTTTGAAAGGGTATATTTTTTCTTTATGGTATACACTTAAGTTTTAAAATTTTAATTGGGAAGTTTTTCTAGTAAGTTGCATGAAGGGTGAAGGGTTCCATAGATCTCTTAAGCATTGTAAAGGAAAAACCTTTACTCGACTTATTTGATGGTGGCAAATATGGCCAACAGTTACCTACTTGGTTACCTACAACTTAGTTCAAATCATGTTATCTTCTTCCTTTTTATTTGTTCATCTTTTTGTCTCAGTTGCGCCATCAATGCAAATGGCAGAATGATATGTTGCCATGACAACAGGATATGCCAGCCGTCCTAGCTGCCACATCAAACGACCTTGAGTTGTAGTGGTGATATAAACAATGATCTTTTTTTTTGGCCAATGTATTAAATGCAATGTTTCGGTTTTTGTATATTGTGGACGCGCTAACCACGTCTAAAAATTCAAATAAGTAAAATAGATTCATAGAACAAAAATTTCGGAAGGTGGCACCCTTCCTTTAAACGATGCCTTATTCAGGCATTGATTAATCTGTCGTAAAACTAAGTCAAATGTCACTGATTGATGAACTGAAATGAATAGAAAAAACTGCAGTAAACCGTTCGAAAACATCGTTCAGAACCACATAGTCAACATATTTTCCGTTGAGATCCCAAATCAATTCAGGGGTGAAACCACTTAACTACCTGGTGCTGGTGGGACTGACCACCGCAGCCGATCGGTGCCCTCGTGACCGAGACAGCTCACACACCACCCAATTACCGCCATTACAGCGTCGTGTCTGCCAGTCCTCACCCACAGCTCACTCACCCACACACTTCCAACGGCCGACCCCGCCGTCTACCGTCCGGCCTCTCAGTCTCACCTGGCAAAGCCCTGGGGGGCAGCTCTCTCCCACACAAACAACTACACACACTACGCTGCACCGTCCCGCCGTGTGCCACCCATCCTCTCAGTCTCACCTGGCAAAGCCCTGGGGGCAGTTCTCTCTCACACAAACAACTACACACACTACGCTGCACCATCCCGCCGTGTGCCGTCCGGCCTCTCAGTCTCACCTGGCAAAGCCCTGGGGGCAGTTCTCTCCCACACAAACAACTACACACACTACGCTCTGCCGTCCCCGCCGTGTGCCGTCCATCCTCTCAGTCTCACCTGGCAAAGCCCTGGGGCAGTTCTTCCTCACACCCTCTTACTGCGCGGCCTGCCGTCCCCGCCGTGTGCCGTCCATCCTCTCAGTCTCACCTGGCAAAGCCCTGGGGCAGCTCGCCGAGTCCGTACATGGGGTACAGGAAGGGCGACTTGCCGTAGCGCGCCAGAGACTCGCTGTATAGCTTGATCCGGGCGATGGTGGTGCCCATTGGCTGGGCGATGTACTCGTCATCCCTGTAGGGAGGAGGGAGGGGGTTAGACTCACGGCGGAGCGGGGCGGGGAGGGGAGCTGTGCTGGTTAGTGGTCAGTGACCATTCCTGGGGCAGAGTGGAGAAGGTGGGTCAGACTCACGGAGGGGCGGGGATGAGAGGGAGAGGTGTACTGGTCATGGTCGGTGGTCATCTCTGCGGAGAAAGAGAGAGAGGCGGTGTCAGACTCGCAGTGGAGCGAGGAGGAGAGGGGAGCGGGCGTACGGCGCCGGCCGACACACCATTACAGACACGCAACCAAACAAAAACAGCCACCGGACGCCGGCCGAAGAGCGGGCGAGCCGGACCGAGAGAAAGGCTGAGGTCGAGACAGACGGGAAAGAGGGAGCGGGAGAGGAGACCGGGAGAGAGGGAGTGGGAGAGTGGGAGCGGGGAGACGGGATGGGAAGGGACGAGTAGGCACAATTAACCCGCGCCCCACTGGGGGGGGGGGGGCTATTTATAGCCCCCCCTCCCGTTTTTCTGCAATTACTTCCAAACCGCTTGACGAATCGACGCCAAACTTTCAGTACCTTCGGCTGCATCAATTTGACACCTTGTGTCAAAATTTGAACTTCGTAGCTACCATAGGTCGGCCGGAAATGACGTCAGAGTGACGTCATGTTCGTCCGATTTCGACGCAAAACATTGAACCACGGCAATCGCTCCCAAGAGCTCAGTTTTTAAGCTAGATCCAATTTCTTTGCATGAAAGGACTCAGAATTGACTGCGCTATCAAACTGCTATCTCGGATTTTCAAAATTTTGAAAATTTCGAAAATTTTATATAATAATATTCAAAATTTATATTTTTATATTTTTTTTCAAAAAGTTTTTGACTTTTCGAAAAAACCGGAATATATGTGACAGAACGCATGATTATGACTAACTCTAGCAAGTTTTAGCTAAATATCTTAAAAAATGGCCAAGTTATACGCATTATTGCAAAAAATTCACAATTATTAATTTTTCAAATCAATTTTTCAGTACGTATTTGGCATCGTACACCAATATAAATGGCACCATCGTGTTCCTGAGCTCAACCTGCATCCAATAGACACCTTTTTTGTTGAAAAATTTCAACTTCAAAATTTGACCTTTTTTGACCTGAAAGTGACCTGACCTAAGCTAATTTCGACTCAAAATGACCGTGAATGACACAGACGACATCAAATTCGAAAGCTATGGCCTAAATGGACCATAAAACATGTGTCACGTGACCGACGCATGATATAATATTTTCGTGACCTGTGATGACCTGACCCTGACCTGAAAATCAAAGTACAAGTTTGGTACCCTCAAGGTATCTAGAGCATCTGTTCACGAGTGTGGAAACCAAAAATGAGCCTGATCTGACTTGTAAGACGGCGGCCAGAGCCCAAAATGTGAACAAGCCAAAGTGCTAATAATTTTTACTTTGACCTGACCTGTGACGTCATCGGTGACCTCGAGGTCAATGAAATTAGGTTTCGCTCGACAGTTTTTCCGGGGCTATCAGACGCCGTTTGAATTTTGACGATCGGCCCAGTAGTTTCGGAGTTAGGAGGGGGGGCTATGAATAGCCCCCCCCCCCCCCCCCCCCCAGTAGGGCGTGTTATACACAGACCCCAGTGGGGCGCGGGTTAAGGGACGAGTAAGGCAACCGACGGGATGGATAAAAAAGTAATGAGGATTGAAAAATATATCCGAACGATAGTATTTTTCAAGCTTATTGCGTGAACAAAAAGGCAACGAAACATGTTTTAGACGGTTGCCATGCCTCGTCTACAAAACATACTGCGCGAGTGCTGCCATGCCTCGTCTACAAAACATACTGCGCGAGTGCATCAACTAGACAGCAACTATCGGTCTCAACATTGATCGAGCTTCAATCAGCCCATAGTCGGGCAGCTAGAGCCTAGTTTTCATTGGCCCATGAATACTAACTGGCAGACATGGGCACGGATCCCAGACGACCAAACACGAAAATCAAGATGGTCACTAGATAAGTGGACTTTAAGCATGGAATTATGGAGGAAAACATGGCTAATAGATGCCTCTCAACGAACCAACTATTTTGCATTCCCTCAGAGTTCACAGTTTTGAGAAAATCCCTCAAGATCCATCTCGGATCCATGGCCACGAATCATGGATCCGAGATGGATCTTGAGGGATTTTCTCAGAACTGTTAACCCTGAAGGAATGCAAAATAGTTGGTTCATTGAGAGGCTTCTATGAGCCATGTTTTCCACCATAATTTCATGCTTGAAGACCGTCAATCTAATGGCCATCTCGATTTCCGTGATTGGTTGTCTGGGATCCGTGCACATGTCTGCTAACTGGTGATTCTTGACCTTCAACTTGGAAACGTGGCCGCCAGAGCCGTGTGTCGATTGGGGCGGACTTTTGAACGACGTTGAGAGTTTGCAAGTGCTGCAGCTCGCTCCACCACGGCTTGTACACCGCCGACAGCAGGCAGACGACCACTTCCGGACGGCGGAGTCGGGCCATCCGGTGGCGGAAAACAGCGGGGAGCGCGACCGGCGTCCGCGCTACTGTGACCCGTCCGGCTACAAGTGCCACCCTGCGCGGTCGTACCGAGTAAAGGGTGTGCACTGTGCAGACTAGCTGCCGGCCGCCACGGCTCGGTCGCCGCCGCAGCTAGATTCGACGAGGGCGGCGGCCTTGAGCCTAACTAGGTCCAGCGCCGCCGCCCCGCCCTGATGGGACCACATCCGTGGTATTTATGCTTTAATAGAAAGTCGTCTGCAGGGAGAGCTGAGGGCCCGGAAACGGGGAACGACACACGACAAAGCAAGAGACCTAAGAACAAGAGTGACAGCACAATCATGTACGGCAGTTAACAGATAGTTCAATGACGGTGAAACCTACAGCGAGCAGAACGGGAAAAATAACTAATCGAAGTAATACCAGCGGGCAGCGACAGTAATAACAGGTGTCTAAGCACAGCGACAGCCAAGCCCAACAACCGACCTTGCGTCAGCCAATACGGTCAACCACATCCCAGCAACACACAATCCGTCGTCATTTGTCTCGGCCGATACGATGTCACAATAAGAGCACCATTAGTGGTCGGTGCGCCCTGCCGGCTGACCATTATCCGCCGGTCGGAGGCGGCGGTCGGGCCTCGGTCACCCAGAATCGGTACACTGCCGCCCACCGACCTGTGGAGCGCCAGTGGGGCCTGCTGAGAGGCTATTATCCGGCGTTCAGCCATCCCGAGACGGTTCACCCGCCGCCCACTCACCTGTGGAGCGCCAGTGGGGCCTGCTGAGCGGCTATTATCCGGCGTTCAGAGGCGGCGCTCGGTCACTCAGAGACGGTACACCCCCGATACACCACCGCCCACTCACCTGTGGAGCGCCAGAGCGTGTCCGGTGACGTCGATCGTGTTCTTGTCCACGCCGAACTTCTCGAAGAGCGCGCTCATGGGCGTGGCCTTGGGGTCGAGGCCCTTCCAGGTGGTGGGGTCGTCCTCCTTGAAGTCCTGGATGTAGGCCAGCAGGTTTCGGAAGCGGCGCTTCTCGAAGAGGCCCATCAGGTCGGAGCTGAGCGCCTCGCGCTCGTCGGCCGGAACCTGGCGGCCGTGACGTCATCCCGCACACGGTCACACGACGCCCCGGTGACGTCACTGGCCGAGCGGCACCGGCATTGAGGGACAATGAGCACGCACACACCACACCACCAGTGACGGGGTGACGACATCCACAGAGCATGGTCCAAAACAATAACCAGTTCAGCCGGCTCTTGTCGTGACCCGGCCCGGCTCGTTCTCAGCAGCGGCTGGCGTGACGCCGGGGAGGTGCTCAAGGGGGGGAGGGGGGGCAACCCCGGTTATTTCCGTCTCACAAAGTTCCCACCGACCGACCCGAGCCCAACTGCGGGAGGCTGGAAATATCAGCACAGCATCAGCTCTGCAATACCTGCAGCCGTCCAAGGAACATAACCTATTTCCGGGATAGTGGCAAGGCGAGGTATTTCACAACATTTCACATTTCAACAGGTTTCCTGGCACTCGCTGCCAACCGAAATAGCACGCCTATCGGTCGCCCATGAATACGTTAGCCCAGTAGGCGGGACTCCAGTGTCAGTGGGCGGGAAAGTGCCGCCCGTAATCAATCCGTTCCGGTTTCAGTCCGGCCGGCAGCCAGCGTGACCGGGGACTCCGGTCACAGTCGCGCAGCCGCGGTCCGCTTCAGAGCAGACGGAGACCGCTGCCACCGACTCAAGGAGTGGGACCGCCAGCCGTACCAGCAGACCGGCAACCACCACCCACCGCTCGCCCGCTCCTAGCGCCCCCCGGCCTTCCCAGAAGACAGGCACCAACTACCCTCCACCCGCCCGGCTGTCCCACCAGTATGGATCCCACCGGATCTCACATCAGTGTGGCACCCACCGACCATCCTGGCCCTGTTTCACCGGTGATAGCAGCACGCTGCTATCACACGTGTCAAATTGGGTTTCCATGGAAACATCTACAAACCATGGCGTCGTCAAACTGTGTGATGTCATCAAATATTGCTGCTAACATCTTCACGGCCGTGCGAATGTATCAAACGCATTTAACGAGACAGCAACTCTGTTCCAAATGTGGCTATGAAAAAGCTCACGGATTACACGAAACGTCATAAGTGTGAGGTCATCACATTATGTCAGCTCGCGCAATTTGATAGTAGCGTGCTGCTATCACTGTTGAAACAGGGCCCCTGGCAGACCGGAGCCCACTCGCCTGGCTGTCCCACGAGTATGGATCCCACCGGATCTCTCATCAGTGTGGCACCCACCGACCGTCCTCTGGCAGACCGGAACCCACCACTCGCCTGGCTGTCCCACGAGTGTGGAGCCCACTGGCTGTCCCATCAGTGTTGAACCAACGGGTGTCCCGTAGGACCAGCACCCACCACCCAGCGCAGCCGGCCGGCCGCTGATTGAATCAGGCATGAAATGTGATCGGTAGTGCACGCTCCCCTCAGTGCGGTGGGATAGGGGTGACACAGCCTACTCACAGACCCCACCGAGACCTACACCCTCGGGCACGACACGCCTGACACGGGTCCGGGGTGCTGCGGGGACGGGCCGCACAAGATGCCACATTGGACTGTGCTCTCTCTGTACACAATGGGCGCAGTTGCCGCGAGCCGAGCCGAGCGTGACGTCACCCGAGGACCGTTAGCCGCAGCGCACACCTGTATCACGGTAAATGACACCGACAGACTGTGCGGTGCAACACAAACACATTGCAAAACACACACAATGCAACACAATCAGAGTGATAACGATATGCGTTATACTTATTTCGCATCAAATGTGACAGCACTGGCATGAGACACGCTTATAATAGATGAAACTCGAAATGTTATCTTCTATCAAGTTACCATGATACAATTCATAACGATAAAACAACAACAAAAAAATATAAAATGATTAAGTGGATATTGGACAATTTATAACGAAGAATGCTTCGTAAATTCTGCTGCACAGGCCGAGTTTTCACTCGGGTCACTCAGAGCGAACGGATATTGTACACATTTTTAGCGGCCACTACCAGACAACTCCGAAAGAGAGCCGGCCACCCGCTCCCGTTAACATCAAATGACATCGAGCCGCGGACCGTGGGCTCACTGCTGACCGGGAGCGGACCGGGGGTTCACTCGGGAGCGGACCGTGGGTTCACTCGGGAGCGGAACGTTGGCTCGCTGCTAACCCGTCGGGAGGGGGGGGGGGCGTGTCTTCACTCGGGAGCGGAACGTGAGCTGCTGGGGCCCGGAAGCGGAACGTGGGCTCGCTGCTGAGCCCGTCGGAAGGGGGACGTGGGTTCGCTGCTAACCTGTCGGAAGGGGGACGTGGGATCGCTGCTAACCCGTCGGAAGGGGGGCGTGGGTTCGCTGCTGACCTGTCGGACTCGGGAGGAGTACGAGCATCGCAGCAACTCGGAGAGGGTAAATGGCCCCGCTTTGGGTCACCTGGATAAGCTGTACCCGAGTGGGACACTTAGTTTTTGAGTAGGTTTCCATTTTTTACTCCCGTAATACAAGGCCTCCCAAATCAATTGAATAGATCCACTAAAATATTAGTTATCGCTGCCACCTACTGCCATATAGTACGGTCGTAAATAGATTCCAGAGGCCCCGGGTGATGTCCGATTAGGCCCCAAGGACGGTCAGCCATGGCTCAGCCAATCTGCAGCCGACAGTCGGCTGACGCCCCTCCCACCAGCGCGCAGCCACGCCCACCTTGGAGATTTTGCCGCCCTTGAAGACGTAGCTGCCCTCGACGCTCTTGAACTCGAGGTAGCGGGTGACGCCGGTGTGGATGAGCAGCTTCACCAGCTGTCCGTTGGCCATCAGGAACTTTGGGATCAGATCGACGTTCCAGTCCCTGCCGGCAGCGGCCACGGGCGGTCATATCGACCGCGGCGGTCCGAGGCGAGCCGGCCGGCGCCCGCCCGCCTGCAACTGTTATCGACCGCCGCACCTACGGCCGGCTCTTTAACGCGGGCCGGCCGGCCCGGAGCCGATCCCGGCCGTCACCCGGAGCAGACCGGCCCGCCCAGACCGCCCGCCGCCCCAACTGACTCATGGGAAAATCGATATGACAAAACAGTGAGCACGCGCTGCGCCCAAACCAGAGGGCCGCCGGCGGACGTTTTTGTCGCACCTAGCCGGCGGTGCGGTCGGCACGGCGCCACCCGGTAACCGACCGCCACCGTCACGGCCCGGCCCGAGACCACAGCGTCACGGTCACGGCTCGTGACGGCGGCGGCGTGCCGGCCGTGACGGCGCCGTCTCCGAGCGGCCAGCCGCCGGCCGGCGTCCTTCGGGCCGTAACGGGCCGCCGCCAGCCCGGCCCGGCCCGGCCGCGCCCCACCCAGCCAGCGGCGATACGGCGGCTGTATCGATTCCCCGGCCCCCTCTCCGCAGAAATAAGCCGCGCGTCTCTCGTCTCGTGGCCGCCGGGCCGTCATACAATCCATACCCTCCCTCTCCTTCCTCGGCCCACCCGGCTGCCGCAGCTGGCTCACCTGCCGCGGCCGTAAGACTCGTCTGGCTTGGGCAGGCCAAACTTCTCAAACATCTCCTCGAGAGGAGTGATGGACGCCGATTCGGCGCCATAGTACTTGTTACGGTCAATGTGCAGTACCTTCTTGCCAGAGACAGACAGCAGTCCGGAGAGGATACATTCCTGCAGACAGGGCACAAGTTTTATTATGACAATGGGAGTGGATACATGGTTTGTAGCTACCTAGTCATTAGACACATAACAACATGTACACTGGCACCTGCTATCCATCAGAGAACCTTCATCCAATGAAGTGATCAGCATGTGATTTGCACATTTATCACTGTGAAGTTTGCCATTTAAACATGGAACAAATGCCAAAAACAAAATACATCAATAACAAAAGTCGAGCTGAAGTAAAGCTTTGGGTTTGCCCTCATCAATCAAGTAATACTCTGGAGTTCTGGACAGATGCTTCCTCCTTGTCATTATTCATGCTTATGGAAAAAGTAAAGGGAGGTAAAATGTGGAAAGTGTCAAAAGACTTATGCTTTAGAAAACACTTAGGATGTTTGAGAAATGAACATCTACTGACACCATGACCATAACCCACAACAGACATCAAATTACTTGATTTTTTGTTGAGAATCAACAATTGTATTGTAAGGTATTTCACATGGTTCTTCTGGAAGGAATGCTTGCAATTAGAACCTCTATAGTCTATATTAAGTAAATGCAAAGATGCCAACATAGCAGAATATTGCATAAACCTCAACGATTATTGAAAGTTAAATGAAATAAAATGTTCCTATGTTCAAACATGTATCTATAAGATATATAATGCTTGTTAAATTACTAATAATATACATAGTTCTAATGCCATCCTTTTGACTTAACAAAAATGGTAAAAATGTGGTATTTCTTAACTTGAGGTCCACATGGTCTTTGAAGGGTAAATTTTGTTGCTTTCTATGTTTTTCAAAGTCCTGAATCTAATAATAATACTCATTAGTGCAGCAAGCATCATAATAACCGACATGAGCCATGAGGGGAGGTCACCTGACCTAACATTATCTGAATCTGACACAACCCAGCCAGGCCCGGCCCGGCCAAAGGTAGGTCTCAGGTTGCATTATCATAGCATTTGCTGTACTAATGAGCATGATTTTTGGATTCAGGACATTGAAAAACATAGGAATGAGCAAAAACTATATTTCAAAAATCATGTGGACTACAGCTTGCTATACGAATAACGTCATAAGTGATAACATAACACTATCAGTAGGCGGAACTATGGTCAAGCGTACCCATTTTCGGGAACGCATTTTCGTTCCCATCTTTGGGAACGATAAACCCAAATATGGGAACGCCATGTAGGCATTATTTAAAACAAGAAAAAGAACCGTTAAATGACGTCCAAAAAATATAAAACGATCGTGAACCGCCTGATATTTATCTCAATATTGTTGGGAAAGAGTTTGATATTGTAAGGCCCATCGTAGTTTCAAATCGTTCCCCTATTTCTAAAGCAGTCCATCATCCGGGCCGCGAGCCCAAATTTGGGAACGCTCTCGTACACTGGCGCTGCAAGCGTTCCTTATTATGGGAACGGCGTACCCAAAATTGGGAACGATTTCACCGACGGCTTTCAGGGACTCTTTTCATTAACAAGCATCACGTCCAACGCCGCAAATTATTGTTAACGCAACAATCTCAGATGACCTTTCCGGCAAGACCGTCGCATGTTTCGCCCGGTCTTCTGCGCTTTTATTCCCGTCGATCTCGCAACGGGCACGCCCCCCTCTGCAGGATTACGTAATTCACAACGCTCAGCGATGTTCAACAAGGTCTTCCATACCTATATACACCGTCCGCGCCGAGGGTGGAGGCATGTAAAACACCTGTCTGTTTAACACTGATAGTTGATGAGCACAAGTAAGTATCCAAAAATGGGAACGCTGAAATGTTTCACTCTCAAAACACCTAGTCCCAATGTAAATCTACTTTTTTCCTTTCTTAATGAGTGTAAGTGGCAAAAAGCCTGGTAGGATGGGCACGAGAAATGATCAAAATCAGCATAAAAATTATAAATAAGCCACACAGGGCGACCTGCATAAAAGAAATTCCCCAAAAACGATCGTGCTTAAAAATACCGAAGGCAAAAACCACGCTCATGACGCTCCTTAAAAGCAATGCTTAACAGCTAGCATCCAAATAAAATATGTCTTTCAGGGTTGATAAAATACAGCTGGATAATTTTCAACCGCTTAAACTGAGTTTACAACAGTAGTTCGGTAAATTCACTCACGTTCCACGCGGTCGTCCGCCCCGACACCAAAAGTCAACAATATTACCTCCGGACCGTCCGCGTCTTCGCTTGCATTTGTCAGCATCTGGTGTCGATAGTATGAAAGTTCATAACCAGGCGAAAATTATTATACTTAACCTCAAACTAAAAAAATGCTTCGTTTTCCTTAAAATTGCATGTTAAATGTCGTATAACCCATATTTTCAACATTTTGTCATTTTTAAAAAATCATTAAAAATATCATTCCACGGTCAATTTCCTTGTTCCACGGTCAGATTAAAGATAACTTTATGGAGATTTAGTAGATACTTCAATCAGCGTGCACTTTTTTGAGACGTGATGCACTTTTGAGTTTTAGTGGGCGAACGGCCGAAAAATTCCCTTCCGTTCTCATAAATGGGAACGCCCGTTCCCATATTTGGGAACTCCGTTCCCAAAAATGGGAACGTTCCTATATTTGGGTACTCATGACCATAGTTCCGCCTACTGCTATAATATTATGTAAAGTGCATTCTAAACATTATTGATTCTATGTGAATTAGGTATTTTCTAAATCACTTCACCCATCAAAGTGCATGTGCAAAATGAGGGACGCCGGTGAAAACAGGGCGCCGGATGGCATATTAGTCACGTGACATTTGGATCTTCTCCCCCCTCCGATGGGCCTTCTACATGCTAAATGTCACGCGTGAATTTCACGAACCTTGATCAAATCGCCCCAGGCGCCCTGGGTGGTGTTTCACGGGACGCTGCTACCACGCTGCTATCAAATTGCGCGAGCTGACGTCACACTTGTGGTAGTGTTGGAGCAATGGGCCTGTTGATGTTTCCATGGAAACCCAATTTGACACGTGTAAAAGCAGCGTGCTGCTACCACCGGTGAAACAGGGCCCTGTTTTCACCGTCGTCCAAAATGAGATCATAACCGAGTACTGACCCATGCACAACGATTTATAGTAGCATTATTGGTCCATATCTTACAAATCTGGCATATACATCAAATGAAAAAGATATGGCAGATAATCAATAAAAAGCATTAGTCTAATACAACAAGCAAATAGTAAAAAAGGAAAACAAAAATCATAACGATATCAACCGGAAAAATTGAGGCGTATCATGCGCACCCTCATTCAACGTCTATCACAGCATTAGCATGGCACAGACCTTGAGTCCAGTTCCCAACACAATAGCGTCGTATTCTTCATCCATGATTGATTAATTCACTGTAAAAATTCGCCTAAAAAAGAGTGTAAGTCGTTGAGAAGACAAGGCCCTCCAAAATCGCGCAGCGGCCTCGCCCCCGACGGTAAAGAATTTGTGATGAAGTGGCAAATACGAGAAAAAGGGAAAAGTTGCAGGAATAGAGAGTTTCCTAAAATTTCCCTAGCTCTTCTTACAAATCCCAAAATTATTTGCAGAGTTTTGTTATAATAGCTCTAGGTCTAGCTAGTTTTCTTGAGAAATGTCTGAGGCTGACAACAATCAATTAAGAAGCAACCACTAATTAATCACAGCTTCAGAGACAATTAGAATGGAAGTGATATACGTTTAATTGTATGGCTCTTTCCATTATGTTTATCATTTAACTACGAAAATAAAAATAATTGGATTCAAGCCCTTTTGTGTATTGATCAGTCACTTCGTTTTCCGTTCTGTCTATGGGTTGATACTTGACAGACGTTGAGCATTTTAGATTCTCGCAAGATTTCGTGCTAAGCAAAACACGTTTTTTGCAGCAAAAAAACTGCTAAAATGGATCTTTTCTATTCAATTAAAAGGCTGAAATTAATTTTTATTTTCATTTGTGATTTGTATCACAAACAAACATTCAAAAGACTAAAGGAGGAAAAACGCGTCAAAAATCTTACCCAGTGACGTAACATTTTGATGAAATAATTCTTTTCATAAGGTTTCCCTTCCAATATTCATCATCCTTGATACCGTTCAAGTATCACAAGTCGTAACCGGACAAATCTTCGTATGGCAATTCTTCGTCGCGCAATTCCTCGTCCGCATTTCTTCGTCCGCAAATCTTCGTCGGCGCATTTATTCGTGTCGCATAACTTCGTCTCGCATTTCTTCGTAAGTGCAAATATTCGTAGCGCATTTTTTCGTATCCGCATTTCTTCGTACGCGCATTTCTTCGTCAAGCATTTTTTCGTCCACGCATTTCTTCGTCTACGCAAATCTTCGTCCGCATTTCTTCGTCCACGCAAATCTTCGTCTGCGCATATCTTCGTCCGCAAATCCTCGTCCCCGCAAATCTTCGTCCGCAAATCTTCGTCCGCATTTTTTCGTCCACGCATTTCTTCGTCTACGCAAATCTTCGTCCGCATTTCTTCGTCCACGCAAATCTTCGTCCGCAAATCTTCGTCCGCAAAACTTCGTCCGCAAATATTCGTCCGCAAATCTTCGTCCGCAAATCTTCGTCCGCATTTTTCGTCCACGCATTTCTTCGTCCACGCAAATCTTCGTCCGCAAATCTTTGTCTGCGCATATTTTCGTCCGCAAACCTTTGTCTCCGCTATCTTCGTCTCCGCAAACATTCGTCCACAAATGTGGTTCAATAAAACCATGAAGAAATATCAGACCATCAAGTGATTGACGAATTAAATGCATGGAATGGATGATCGAAACTTTTGATGTCAGGTAGATGAGGTCTGTCAGGTGAAGCTATTGTATTTGGGAGCTAAGAATTGAAACATTCCATATCATTTGTGTCCCGGACATTCTTTTTTTCGCGGTCGATGAATGACAATATAATCTCTTGTACCCTCGCCGGCATAGGCGGCGGAACGGGGAGGGCACCGGCCACCGGGGCACCGTTCCCCTCTTTAATTTTGGCCTTTTAACAGTAGCCCTATGGGCGTTGCATGGAAAGAATGGGACTAAAAGTCGGCAGTGCCGTGCCCCCCCCCTAATTGAAGGTGTTCCGCCGCTACTGCTCGCCGGACCTATTTGTTTTCTACATACACGCCGGCCGAGGGGGGGGGGCGGGTACGACCCCCCCCCCATCGCCGTTTCGCCACTGGTGGAGCTAGCGCGTCGCGGAAAAAAACGAGCGTGTGCGCCGTTACGAGACGCAGAGGCCCGATTTTAAGGCCTTCTAGGTCAGGGGTCGGCTTACAGCCCGCGGGCCGGATCCGGCCAGGAGGGTGACGGTTGGATCCGGCCCGCGACCACTGACGTCCGGCCCGCGCAAGTTTTGTCTAGAAGTAGAATTATACAAAAAACACCCGCAAATGGTGTTTATAAACTCATGAAGTGTGCGAAGGAAGAACTATTGTGCCAAAGCACATTTTAAGTCACTTTTATATCGGAGTCGATTTCTGAAGGAACCGCGGGCCGGAACACGACGTAGGTCGATGATACCAGCCGCGGGCCGGACGTCAGATGGTCGCGGGCCGGATCCAACCGTCACCCTCCTGGCCGGATCCGACCCGCGGGCCGTAAGCCGACCCCTGACCTAGAAGGCCAGGGTATTAATCTCTAATAATTAATCGGGTATTAATCTCTGCGTCTCGTAACGGCGCACACGCTCGTTTTTTTCCGCGACGCGCTAGCTCCACCAGTGGCGAAACGGCGATGGGGGGGGGGGTCGTACCCGCCCCCCCCCCCCTCGGCCGGCGTGTATGTAGAAAACAAATAGGTCCGGCGAGCAGTAGCGGCGGAACACCTTCAATTAGGGGGGGGGCACGGCACTGCCGACTTTTAGTCCCATTCTTTCCATGCAACGCCCATAGGGCTACTGTTAAAAGGCCAAAATTAAAGAGGGGAACGGTGCCCCGGTGGCCGGTGCCCTCCCCGTTCCGCCGCCTATGCCGGCGAGGGTACAAGAGATTATATTGTCATTCATCGACCGCGAAAAAAAGAATGTCCGGGACACAAATGATATGGAATGTTTCAATTCTCGGCTCCCAAATACAATAGCTTCACCTAACAGACCTCATCTACCTGACTTCAAAAGTTTCGATCATCCATTCCATGCATTAAATTCGTCAATCACTTGATGGTCTGATATTTCTTCATGCAGTTTTATTGAACCACATTTGTGGACGAATGTTTGCGGAGACGAAGATAGCGGAGACAAAGGTTTGCGGACGAAAATATGCGCAGACAAAGATTTGCGGACGAAGATTTGCGTGGACGAAGAAATGCGTGGACGAAAAATGCGGACGAAGATTTGCGGACGAAGATTTGCGGACGAAGTTTTGCGGACGAAGATTTGCGGACGAAGATTTGCCGGGACGAAGATTTGCGTGGACGAAGAAATGCGGACGAAGATTTGCGTAGACGAAGAAATGCGTGGACGAAAAAATGCGGACGAAGATTTGCGGACGAAGATTTGCGGGGACGAAGATTTGCGGACGAAGATATACGCAGACGAAGATTTGCGTGGACGAAGAAATGCGGACGAAGATTTGCGTAGACGAAGAAATGCGTGGACGAAAAAATGCTTGACGAAGAAATGCGCGTACGAAGAAATGCGGATACGAAAAAATGCGCTACGAATATTTGCGCTTACGAAGAAATGCGAGACGAAGTTATGCGACACGAATAAATGCGCCGACGAAGATTTGCGGACGAAGAAATGCGGACGAAGAATTGCGCGACGAAGAAATGCCATACGAAGATTTGTCCTGGAATCATCACAAGTTGAAGTGGTTGTAGTATCACAAGTATCAGTGTCTGTAATATTGATCAGAAGTATCACAAGACAGTATTGAGTGTAATGGTGGTGCACAATTTTGGGATTTTGAAGGGTGGATTTCTATAATTGAAGTACCTGTATCTACACATGAGTAGCTGGGCGGCTGGGCCCTGATCATACGTTATTTTGTTGAGGTTAGATTGTAGGTTTTAGGCGATAGGTTGTAGGTAAGGTTAGGTCAGGTTTGGTTTGATTAGAAAGCATTTCTGGGTGTAGCGCCTCTCCTCAGTTGTAAATAACAAGTTGAAGTGTGACGCCTGCTTTACGACTACCCTCCAGTTCAGTCGGGCGCACTATGGTATCGGCAGTCCATTTATGGATACGTATCTATTAAAGGAAACGTTTCCAAATTTGGAAGGCACTTTGTTCCATTTATGGAAACGCCAGTTCCAAAATTGGAAACGCCAATTTTTAAGCAGGCATATTTCTGTATTTCTTAAGTTAATAGTAATCTTTTCAGCTGGCATGTCTTTTTGTCGATATGTTTTCTCCCAAAACAGTAAAATCCAACAATATTTTCGTACGCAAATGGCGAATCTGATGCCCTGACGCAAACCCTTGTCAACGTTCCATTTTTGGAAACGGAAGGTTCCAAAAATGGAAACTATGAGCCAACACAGGAAAAGGCATAAGCAACATATTATTGATATGTGGGCCTGTCTACCCCACGCCTTCTAAGTAATTGCCGAGCTATTGATGCCGGTACATGTTCCGATATGGGTGATTTCCCGGTATATGTCAAGTTTAGGTCCTAACTACAACTGTGGCGCTTTTGATACGAATATGAAACAGCAAAAATTTTAGGTTTTAGGTTAGGTTAGGTTGTAGGTTTGTAGGTTTTAGGTTGTAGGTAGGTAGGTTTGTAGGTTAGGTTAGGTTAGGGTAGGTTTGTAGGTTGTAGGTTGGTAGGTTATAGGTATGTAGGTAAGGTTAGGTCAGGTTTGATTATGTTTTTTCTTTTATTTGCGAGACATATGAGTATCATTTTTGGATTCAGGATGTCAAATAATGTATAAATATGAAAAATTTATCAATGAACTCTTCTTAGGACTTAAACTTGACATTTACCGATTTCCCTTTGCATCTAAATTTCGTATGAATGGTCCTCCAATTGCTTGGGCATAGTGCCCGAAAGCCGATGTTGGTACAATAATGCTTACGAAAATGTGTCTTCTGGGGAAAGTCCCCAATTTCTAGGCACCTACATAAACCCCAGAACTGTCCAACCGTCTTGCCTACTAAGCTGCTACTGCTTACGAAACCCACATTATAACATATTTTAACTGTTTCAAGCATGCATGCGTGACTGCAGTAAGCGTCGCGATGTGCCCTGAATTGCGGTTAACAGACTCTGGCTTCCCAAGAAAAGCAAGGCTTTATAAGTAAGGTTGGAGTTAAACTTCGGCCTAATCAGGCCGGTTCAGAAGCTCTGGTTCGCATCTCATGCTGTCGGAGCGTGCACATTTTCCAACCTTCTCGTGGATTATTAGAAATGAGAAAGGCAGAAAGTGCTTCTAAAAACATTAAATGCAAATAGGAGTTGAAATACATATAACCTACTGCATCTGTGAGCTGTATGTACAACATGAGTTAAAATTCGTCATTTGTTCCAGATGCAGATGCAGATGATGCAGATGAGTCTTCGGGGGAATAGCCTTTGCATCGGCTCCCCCATAGGTGCCCTATTTGGTTATAGGGGTACTGGGAAAAGGATGAGGATGGAGGCTGCATGTCTTTCTACATTTGCTCATGTTCCTTCCAGACGCTTTTGACGGATTCTCCATAGACAGTGCAGCTTCTCCTTCCTCTCTTCCGCATCCTCTTCCCGTTCGTCGACTGAGTTTGAGTTTAACACATTTTCTTCCTGCAGTGCCATAAATTGACAGAATTTAGATGGACATTTTGGTTCATACAATGACAATGAACAACCATTGGTTGAGAATAGTTTGCTTTATTGTATTGGGCATTCATAACCAATCCACATTCTCAAATTGTTTGGCAATTAAAGCTACATAGCCAGCCGGCAGCCGCAATGAATTGGATTTATATTTGATTTGAAGAGCTTTTGGAAGTTGTTAAAAATTTGGGGATTATGCCCAAACTCTGCAACATCTAAAATCATGTTTCTAGATTTGCCAGTGGACTTGCAGAGATGTAAGTCAGCCCCACTGGTGACTGATGACCCAAAACTCAATGCATTGAGTATCGGACAGAACAAGTATCTATTGATAATCTTATAGCAGGCATCTCAGGTGCTGCAACCTGCTTGTGAAGAGTCGCTAGACTCACCAGTTCTAGAGATATTTACACAAAGGGAGTGCTTAGCTCTTTGATGGTACCTCGCTTGCATAGATTATTTGGGAGAATGTTATTTATAATTTCATGGTATTTTGCTCTATTTGAAAAGCTAGCAAATAATGTGATTGAGCAATGATTGACTATATTTTGTTCTGTTTCAGGATGAGCAATGGCTCACATTCTACCACCACAGCCTAGTGAGGCACCAACACTTCAAGAAACCACTGAGAAGATTGTCAATGAATTAAAGTCAAGAGGAAACTTTGATACATTTAGGAAAGCTTGCTTAGCAGATGTTGATACAAGGGTAAGACTTGAATTGTTATGAAGCTTTTAAACAGCATCAGGCACTGTGCATATTGGATGGAGAACATGGGGGCTTACATTCTAGTTAACCTGTGCCAGGATGTGGGTCTCAACCAACTTGATCATTGCTGGGGAAAGGGGGATTTTGGTGCAAGAAGCTCCAGGTCAATGCTGAGGTCACCAAGCCAAGCTTTTTGGCCACACCCAATCATCTAAAAAAGAGGCTGGAAAGACAAAAAACAATGGCACTCTATAAGCTTCAAAGTCATGGATCATATTTTGATCAGTGGCCTGTTGCACCAAATATACCTAGCCAGGTAAAATCACAGAACTATTTTCATGATTTGCTAACCTATGGTGGTACATTTTACTGAACCTGTTCACTATGAAAAGTTCAGCTTAGCTCACTATGGAAATCTCAGCTCAAATGCTCAGTAGAATGTCTAGGTAAATTCTCACTATAGTAAGTGGGTGCAAGGTACAAAAGAATCTTAAGAAACTCCACCTATCTAGGTAGAGTAGGATTTTGGTGCAAGAAGCTCCAGGTCAATGCTGAGGTCATCAGAGGTCACCAAACTAAAGGTGAATTCCTTTGTAAAATATACTTCATTTTAACATTTCTTCACAATTTTGCATATAATTGATGAACCAAAAGAGATACAGGGTCATTGAATGAAAAGTGAATTTCATGCCTAGTTATTTCAAATCCTTTTGTCAGCATGCTCTCACTCTTGACTTCAGGTCAACAGTAGGTTTGGTCAATACTTTTGGTCCACAGAGGGTAAAGATTGCTAAAGTACATGGATTTGGCTAAACGGTTTTCTGCATTAACATTGGACTCACCCAGTTTATTTGATTCATTTTACAACTATCTTGTTCCTCTTGCCAAGATCATATGACAAATGACTTCATATCTATGATATAATGACTATAGCTTGACCTGAAAGGTAAACTTGAAAGCTTGCATTCAGGTTATGGTCATGACCTGACTGGAGTGGACAAGGCCTCACTGCATTTCAAACGATCCATATAGGTGAACTGAACAGTGAACATATTCCAGGTGCTTTCACTGCTCTATGATAGCCAGTCAGAAGTTATTGTCAAAAACTGCTGGTGACTGGCGTTTATGACCTAACATGACCTTTTGAGTGGCCACTAGACATCAGTGACTCTTCGCATTGGATATTGGCGGATTTGATACGATTCGAAAATATATTTTGGTTTTGATGTGCATGGTCGTCATTTGTACATGCCTCCATTGGTGATATTGAGATCATACATTTGGCCTGACTCATGGTCACGGATATACAGAATCGGAGATATACGAATTGTGGGCACTGATGACCTATTAACCCTTCCAACCGATCCCTAACGATTTACAAAATTTGTGCTCAATCAGCCCAGCCGTTCTGGAGCGGGCTGCTTTTAACGTGGTGTCCTCCCGGTGTGCCGCAGCCCGCCTACCAGAACCTCCGTCAGCGCGTCGAGAGCACGGTGACCACCTTCCTGGGCAAGCAGACATGGACGCCCGACCTGAACCGCAACCAGCTGCGGGAGAAGCTCCGCAAACACCTGGCAGAGTGAGTGGCGGCGGGCGCGCGGCCGCACCCCGGCCGCTCAGACGGTCCGAGGTCTACGTCTGTACGCCGCGCGGGAGAGCCAGGCGGGGCCCGGCGAGCGGGCCCGCTTGGATGTGCTGCTAACCGTGAATGTTTGTACAACTGTGAAAATTACACTGACACCCTGAATCACAAAGAAATATTTCAGTATATGTTTTTATACTCGGCCAACCCTATATTTTATTTGATCAATTTCGCTGGTATGTTTCATTTGCATGCATACTGAAGTATCAGGTAAGTTGCAGCTTGCTGGTACTTATTACTCATGTGTTATCTTGAGCCCGTCCTCTTCATTCCCGTTTTCGTCAGGTCTCGGTTTCTGGAGATTGGCGTGGATCGTATCGTGGACCAGGTAGTCGACAGGAACATCTACTCCACTTACATGCCACAGATCCAGCTGCTTGTGAAGGAGATGCTGGACATCAAGGATGAGGCTGAAGGTATGCTGTCGCCTGCCATCGGGGGATTATTGTCCTACCGCCATTTTATGGCCAGATTATATGACTCAAATCAGCACTGTTCTGTTCAAAAGAGTAATTTTACAGGATACATCGTCATTTCATATGATTTTGATAAGTTGTTATATAGTAGATGTAGCTATGTACGGCTCTCGCGGGATTAAGCGGTAGGTTTTTCCTTTTCACACTTCCGGCTGTATCTCAGAAACTAATCGATGTACGATTAAGCCATTTCAGCCATTTAACACGCGCAGTGGAAGGGGGGGGGGGGGGATTTCGCCCACCCCTCCTGTTTTTCGTCAATAACTCACGCCGCAAGCATAATATCAATGTGAAACTTCGGCTACCTGTCCAGAATTGAATTTCGGATCTTCTCGTGCAAGAAGTAAGAAAATCGGTTCACAACTTTTCTAGTAATAGCGGTGTAAAGTCAAACATCCTGCCGTCGCGGCGGCGCGGCGGCCGGCGCTAGCCGTTACGCGCCGCCTGAATTGTAGACTGTGCCGGGGCGGGACGGGTCCGTCTTTACATCGCGCTCCTTACCGCTGATTATATTAGATTCGCGTCAAATTCGGCGAGAAGACTGAGAAATGTACAGGCAATCATATGGTCAAAGAATTTTGAAAATCGGCCGGTAACAACTTGAGTTATGAGTGTGTAAACACAAAATTGTGATTGCCGCGTTTCCCGCGTCGGCCGATCCCGCTTCAGCCGGCGACATCTTACCCTTAGCAGGCTTCTAACTGCCATATTTATTGTTGGACTATCTAGAAATTCACCATACATACTCACAAATGTTTGTTCTTTCGTATAGTGAAAGATTAAAGAAAATCGGCCGGTAACTTTTTGAGTTATCGGCGTGTAAACGCGAAAAAGTCGCCAATATGGCAGATTTGACCACATTCGACTCATTTGACCTTGAAGATATTGACCTAGGGTCATGAAATTCACACACAACAGAGTTCCCCATGGCCCCCACCTACCCTCCAAATTTCGTCTTTCTAGCTCCAGTGGGAGCTGAGATCTTAGGGGGGGGGGGCGACATCCGCCCCCCCCCCTTCCACTGGGCGTAGTACTCGCAACCCTTCCACTGCGCGTGTTAAGCCATTTTCATGACTGGTATGCGTACAAATAAATCGATCGCATCTTCAGCCCTTAAAAGCTTAAGACGAAGAAGATACAGCCGGAAATTTACTAAATTTCATGGGGGCAAAACCTACCGCTAAAACCCGCGAGACCTGTACTTAGCTACCTCTATCAGCATAAGCCAAACGTACAGCAGAAACCACCTTTGTCTTTTCAGTTATAGAACTCAAAATGCACTGCTGCTCGTGTGTGTGACTCTGCTCACATGCGGTGGGCTGTTTTTTCACTCTCACCCCACACTCCGTCTCCGTCAGATAAAGCGGACGAGGACGCGGACATGGAGGAGGCGGCGCCGGCGCCCGAGACGGGCGGCAACACGTTCGGCACCTGGGCCAACCAGTTCCACGCGCGGGTGCCCGAGCCGCGGCCGAACGAGCCGGCGGCCGCCAGCAACAGCTCCATGTCCATCTCGTCGGGCACGAACGGCTCGGCGGCCGGCTCGCCCAGCGAGGCAGACAGTCCCGACATCCGCGCCCAGATGAGCCCCCTCTCCGACGACGGCAAGCAGGGCTGGGGCTCCTTCCTCGGCAAGGCGGACGGACTGGACTTCAGCGGCATCATGAATCGCGTCGACCACATCGACCCGGCCATCGACCAGATGATCAAGTCCGAGCTGGAGTCGGACACGCGCGAGACGGAGCCGTCAGCGGCGGCGGCTCAGCGCCGCAGCGGCTCCAGCAACTCCAACATGTCGCTGGAGGAGGACGAGTCGGTGGACCTGCAGTCGTTCGTCGGCCCGCCGGACGGCACGGAGGCCCAGGACGGCCACCGCCGAGAGGCCGACCGCGACCCCCCGCTGCCGCCACTGCCGCCGCCGCCCCGGCCGCCGCGCGACGAGCCCGACCGCGGCGCACGGGGCGACGCCGAGCCGCGCGGCGGCCGCCACCCGTCCGACGAGGAGCGACGGCGCCGAGAGCGAGAGCGTGACAGGGGCCGGGACCGGCGCGAGCGCGGCCGGCACGGGGACGACGATCGGCACCGGCGAGACCGGGACCGAGACCGAGACCGGGACCGCGACCGGCGCGACCGGGACCGCGGCGACGACCACGAGGAGCAGCGCGGCCGCAGCCGGCACCACCAGCGCCGCGACCGCGACGACGACGATTCAGCCGGACACCGCGGCCGCAGCGGCGGCTACAGCCGCGACGGCCGCGGTCACGGCCGGGACGAGGAGCGCGGCGGCGGCGGCGGCGGCGGTGGCGGCGGCGGGCAGCGCCACCACGGCTACGGCGCCGGCAGGGAGCGGTCGGCCGGCGCCCCGGAGCAGCCGGTGGACGGCGCCGGGCCGCAGAACGGGACGGCGGCCGTCACCGGTAACACGGATCCTGCAGCGACGGGGAAGACGGCTGCGCCAGGGGAGTCGGAGGGCGCGGTCAAATCGGAACGCTCGAGAGAGAGGAAAGGTGACTCGAAGGAGCGAGACAGAAAGGCCACGTCGAAAGAAAGGGACAGGAAGAAAGGCGGTTCTGAGTCCCGGAGGAGGGATTCGTCATCAACACATAAGAAGTCTTCCAAAAGAGGCGACGAATCATCGGAGCGTGGCTCGTCGAAAAAATCGCCTCCGTCCGGTAAGGAGAGGAAGCCGTCAGCCAGTGCCGTGACCTCAAAGGCAACTCCTTCTCCGTCGCAACCCAGGCCTAAGACAAAGAGTGACTCGGGCATCGGTTCGCCGGAGGACAGCAAAACCTCAGTATCATCCAAGGCATCGTCGTCCGATGATTCATTTTCAATCAAATCAGACTCGTCCAAAAGTCTATGTCGTGATGAGTTGAACAAGTTATCCCAAGTGCCTGTGGTTTCACTTATAAAACTAACCGACGCCGCGATAAAGAAGGAAATGGAAAGGTTATCACCCTCATCAGCCAGCAGTCGCCCCAACTGCAGTTCAACAAAACCCACACAGTCTTCGAGTAGCTCGGACTACAAGGCCAAGCCGCCATCAAGTTCAACAAAACACACGCAGTCTTCGAATGACGCGGACCCGAAATCCAAGGTGCTATCGAGTGCATCAAAACCCTCGCAGTCTTCGAGTAGCTCAGACTCTAAAGCCAAGATGTCCTTGAGCTCCGCAAAACCCACGCAGTCTTCAAGTAGTTCGGACTCCAAGCCTAACACTCCGCTGAGCGCTAAGGATCGTATGGCGCAGCTAATGGAGAAATACGCTCCGTATCTGAAAGACCGGTTCCGTCGCACAGAGCACACCTCGAAACCTAAACCTAAGCCGAAGCCCAGTCCGTCTCTGAACACGTACCGTGGCGAACGGTCGCGGCCGGTGTCGCCGTCGAGCCGCCCGTCGGTGCGGTGCCTGCAGCGGGCGGTTGCCGAGCCGGACACCCTCTCGGTCAGCTCGGTGGACACGGCCGACCTCTCCGACTTCGACGACCGTCTAGAGCTGGAGCTGGAGCTCACTGTGCCCGAGCGGGACGCCCTGTACAGTATCGGCTGGCGGCCCGTCCTCGACGACCTGGCCGACGCAGACGACGACGACGTGGCCACCGCCATCGAGGACTTTGTGCAGGTGGTCGACGTGTGCGATGACGCCGAGAGCGTCGACTCTGGCTTTAACCGGTCGGACGCGTCGTCCTCGACCTCGGCGGGCTCGGCGCCGTCCCGACTGGCGGCGGCGGCGTCCGAGCCGCCGCTGGTCGACCTGGAGCCGCCGCCGACGGCCGGCCGCCGGCGCCGACAGCGCAAGGTCGACTATATCGCGCTCAACTCGGGTCTGGACGGCGAGGCGCGGCCGCAGGAGGAGTCGGACCGGCGCCGGCGCCGGCCGCGCCACGACGGCGACTGGAGTCCGGCGGCCAAGCGGAGTCGGCTGGAGCGGCCTCAGGAGCCGGCCGCCGGCGCCGTGCCCAAGCTGTCGCTGCGCCGAACGCCGGACGGAAAGGCGCGCGGCAAACGCGACCGGGACGAGTGGCAGGTGAGCAGTGACAAGGAGAACATGGACGGCGCGGCCGGGCTGCGCGACCCGGGCGCCGCCGGCGACTCGGTCAGGATCCGGCCCAACCTGGTCATCCGCTGAGGTGCCGGTCAGTGCCGCGCGGTGGTCGGTACGCCCGGCTCGGCGGCCCGGCGCTGCTCGGAAATGGGAGGCTGGTGAATCGTATCTGGGACTGGCAGATGGGACGTGCTTCCTGGGCAGTGCTCGCCGGCGATACCGTGCGTCGGTCGTTGGACAGCTGTCTGTAGGATGGGGGCAGAGGGGGGATGTATGATAGTTGCATATCTAGTGTACATTGCGTTCATTATATGCGCCCTTTGTGGGGCGATTACCATCATGTATATTCGGCCGCAGAGGCTGCCATTGTGCGTTCACTAGCGTGTATTCATCAATTATGATTGTTAAGAAAAAAAAATACACTTGAAATCAATGGGTGTCGTTAAATACGGGCAAAAGGCATTAATGAGATTTACAGTTTCTCCAGTAACCTATAGGGACGTCAGCTGACACCAAGTTATTCGAGGGGCAAACACGAATTCAGGGGTAATGCTGGGGGGGGGGGGACGCCAGACGGGGACAAGGTCAGGCCGGTCGAAAATTGACTCCCCGCTCCCTTATGAAACTGCGACAACCTGGCTGGTTGGTGCCTGAATTGCATTTCCATGGTTGCCACTTGCCAGCAGCCACTAAAAGGTAGAAAATTCCATTAATTTGTCGCCCACATACGTTACTGCAGCCTACGATCACTAGTCAGTAGTCGTTGAAATAAAAATCGGCTTCCTTGATCATCGACCATCACTCGACGCAAACTTGACTCTTGTTAAAATGAAGATTTCATGGAAGCGGCGTAAAATCAACATTTCAGGGAAGCGGTATGTTTAAACAACCATGACAACATACTGCCTACGCCGCTTTTGCGAGTGCGGGCGCATTACGTGACACGAAGTGCCTCTACAAAATACGCCATGCATGTATTTACCGCTCACGAATACCCTCATCAGGTGCACTAGTAAACCGGCAGCAGCATCTCGAACACACATGCCAGACATTCAACGACACTCTGCTTCTTTCATTTCCGAAATTAGCATCTCGTAGCAATCGACAAAGGGATCAGAAAACCATCTACCGCCGCAGGCTCCCCGCGATACTCTCGCATGCAATCCACCGACCAATGTTCATCAACACGAGCCGCATCCCCTCAATGTCCCTACTCGCGTGCGTTCGACCATGACACTCGCGTTCGCTCACCACACGTCTGAGCTGAGCACGATCGCCAAGTTCCAGGACAAGGCGCTCCGGTCCTCCAAGGCGCCCATCCAGCACACATCACTACCTGGCGCCACCCTTCACCAGCACGCCAACTGTGCCCGCCCGGGCCTCAGGAGGTCCATTTGAGACAGCGCGTGTCCTGATGGGTATGCAGACAGCGCGCGCTGCAGTAGCGCGTGCCGCACTGCACGCACGTGTAGGTGCTGGGGAAGCCGCAGACTGCGCACAGGTGGCGCTCGGGCCGCGCGCTCGGCCGCGCTGCCGCCGACGTGTAGTTGGGCGGGTCCGGCTCCAGCTGCTGCTCCTCCTCCAGCAGCGAGGAGAACGTCTTACGGAACCTGAAACACCGGCACGGCCAGCACAGCACTGGGGTCAGTGGGTGGCGCCGAAAGGTGCTTACTAGCCATGAACGACCTCGAAGAACTGATTTACAAACGCTCATGACCGGGCCCGGACTAAAATCTGAGAAACTCATTAAGTTCATGCAAAGTGAACATTTAATCCCCTTACCAGCATAAAAACGCATATGCAAAGGACATGTCAACAGTAACACGTACCTCTGCTTAAAGTACTCAAAGCTGCGGGCCTTGCGTTTCCTGTCCGGTCGCGTTTTGCCGTCGAGCGATTCATCGAACTTGGGCGCCTTTTTATGCATGACCAGGTTGGCATGCGGGTCGTCGTGAAAGTTGTCCAGCTCGAGCGCCTCGAGCGCCTTCCGCTGGCGGCGGCGGCGGGCTGCCTCGTCCAGCACCACATAGGAGGCGGCGCGCACGCGGGAGCCCATGGCGGCCGGCTGGGGGTTCACAGCGATCCACCGAGAGTTTTACAGGGGTTCACACGGGTCCGCGGCGGCCGGCGGACTGTCCACAGCGGTTCACTGACGGTTCACAGCGATCCACCGCTGCCGGCTGTGACCGGCTCGGTAGCGGCCAGTCTATTTCTCCGGCTGTGACGGGCTCGGTAGCGGCCAGTCTATTTCTCCGACTGTAACGGGCAGGTAGCGGCCAGTCTATTTCTCCGGCTGTGACGGGCTCGGTAGTGGCCAGTCTATTTCTCCGGCTGTGACGGGCTCGGTAGCGGCCAGTCTATTTCTCCGGCTGTGACGGACTCGGTAGCGGCCAGTCTATTTGTCCGGCTGTGACGGGCTCGGTAGCGGCCAGTCTATTTCTCCGGCTGTGACGGACTCGGTAGCGGCCAGTCTATTTGTCCGGCTGTGACGGGCTCGGTAGCGGTCAGTCTATTTCTCCACCAGCGGGAAGCTGATCTGGTCCATCAGATCGTCGATCCGCGCCTGCAAACAATGAAATGGTCAAATAAAGACGGATCTACATCAGACAGTTTGACATTATAAATAAATTGCAGCTTGTAATCATGATGGTAAATATTACAGTATTTGCAAGGACAATGCAAACATATTTAACAAGTGAAAAACGTCACCTGAAGAGTATCATAGATATCACTGGAGATGAACAAGTGTGTGGCATCCAGGTCTTGAAGAATGAATCGCCTCCCCAGAGCAGAAGTCTCATCCAGATGCAACAAGAACTGTTTCATAGCAGGGTCACTGAAAAAAGGCAATCATGTATCAGCATGTATGAATAACCAATAACATTGGCACACCTTTTCAAAACAACCTTTAAGTTTTACACACCTAATGCAAATAATTATAGTATAGGTATATAGTACCTATACAATACAATGGTGGAACCGTGGAACAAACAAATATCTCAAATAAATGAATGTAATGAATATGCCAAACAATGCAATTTATTTGACAGGTAAATTGGATATGGTCTAATGTATAATTAGCATTTGTCAAACCTTAATATGGCACTGCCTTCTTCAAAGGATCTATGCTAAAAACTATATGATATGAGCATTCACTATTTAAGATATGTAGGAAATGAAACAAATCACTATGCAGTTATGCACTGCCAATCAATAGGAATCATAAAGCATTTTCCTGGGAATAAGCCACCAGGTGAAATGTGAATATTACAATAATTTACTATTACTGAACACAGTTATAACTTACCACTCAATGAGCATCCCCTTGAGAACATTCACCATGCTTGTTGCCTCAAATGATCAATCATATAAATGGTAAATCTGCAATACATACTACTTTGTCACATTAATATTTTGTCTGTTAATAAAGACTTCATTGTAGAAGGAATAGACCTTTAGCCAATAAGTTTTGACCCATTATACCTACCAATAGATCCCTCTATTGACAACGTCAAAGACCTTCTTGATTCACAAGATCCAATATCAAATGACCCAATACTTTTTACACAAAACATGTACAAATTAAACCCAACCACACATTGGGTCAGGTAAGTTTGTTATATTAGCAGAGGTTAGGTCAGGTGAGATAAGGTTTTGTTATTTCTGATAACTGCCTGTAGTGTAGGTAGGTAGGTCTAAGGACCTGACTTTTCATCGTATTACTAAGATTGTATTAACAATTTTATAGGTTGATACCTATATGGTCTGTGATCAATATGGTCAATGGTGTGGTTTCTATTTAATTTAGAGCCTAGGCCAGGGTGTTAGACGGGATTTCACTGCCAATTTGCAGATCAAGATAAGAAAGGAACCAGATGGCATATTCGCAAATTACAATATTCGTAGGTACCTGTTCCTGTACCTGGAGCGAACCTGTTTTACTTGCAACACTGCAGCGAGGGTGTCCGGCCCAGGACGAGCCGACCCTGCGCCGGGCAGTTTGAAATGTGTTGATTGCGAGAGACTGCATCGAAGGTGTCCAGTCCGTTTGAATGACTGACCTTGCAACGGGCAGTGCGAGATTGCAAGCATGCAACACTGCAGGGAGGGTGTCCGGCCCAGGACGAGCCGACCCTGCGCCGGGCAGTTTGAAACGTGTTGATTGCGAGACTGCATCGAAGGTGTCCGGTCCGTTTGAAAGACCGACCTTGCGACGGGCATAGTTCTATTTGCAACCATGGCTCAATTTTATTTGAGAATGGTCTCAGAGCTCATCCATTTTCCAAAATCCATGCACATTATGCTGAGGAATTGGAATGACAATGAAGTATAATCAATAAAGGCATATTGCGAACTACATTTTCACTCCTAGGATTTCTATTACCAATGGTTTCTAGGATTAACCTATGTCAATTTAATTTAAAAATGGGTATAATTTGAATTACGACGACACAAGTTGGCCCCATGCGCAAATCAAACGTAGACATTCATGGAGCAGCGTAGACAAATGAAGACATATACTTTGAGTCACGTGACCCTTGTTATTATAATTCACATCAATGCTCTTCATGAAATCAAAGCTTATGCGGTCTGTCTTTGATGTTCCCGAGAAACCTTAATTTTTGAAATTGTTTAATTTTTTTATTTCAACGTCAACTAATTATACAGGCTTGTAAAAGTGTTCCACTAAACCACGTGGGTTGACAAAGCCGATTGCAATGTCTGTAATATTTTTTAACCGATTGAAATCACAAAAAGAGATAATGGACCCAGTATTGTTTAGTAAACTTGCTATCCTGAGGTTGTATCCACGGTATGCAGAGAACTGTTGTATCGCATTGCCCTAGGCGTAGCACCAGCTTAAAATCTTTTAAGAATCGATATAAGATCATTCGTTCTCTCCGATACCTGCATTCCATCCTCAGGACATACATGATCTTCATCAGGAGTGAACTGGGGTGAACGGATAGGACGCTGGACGGTCACATTCATTCGACGCGAGTAGCTCCTCGGGATCATGCCCCCTGTCGGACGCTTGAGTGCCGGCTACGCGTCCTAACCCACCAGAAGAAGGGAGCATGCTCCCGTGCGGTGGGGTGCCCGTCAGCGGGGCTGAGTGGCCTGTCCATCGAGAGGGGCCCAGCCTCGGCGGAGTGCATGAACGTGGCCGCCCCGACCAATGTCTACCATCCTTCCCCAAAATTCCTAACATCCTTCTGGCTCTGAAAAGATCTAGTTATACCGAAAGGGCTAAAACAACCAAAACAAAACAAACAGAACAAGACAAAACAAAACAAGTTCCAATTCGTAACATGGAGCATTGGTCAGAGGGCTCAAGGCTCGGTTTTATTCATGGACTGGGTTCGAAGCAAATCTTTCCGCCGATGATGCTGGCTGTCAATAGATAGACTGCAAGCGGATAGCTTTAACCCGCGCCCCGCTGGGGGGGGGGGCAGAATCTGCCCCCCTCCCGTTTTTCGCCAATAACTTCTAAACGCGTTACGCCAGCGACGTCAAACTTTCGGTACCTTATCATACATCAATTTGACACGTTCCCTGAAAATTTGAGCGAAATCCGTCGGAAAAATTTCGAGAAATTGACGTTTTAGTGACGTCATGTTCGCCATTTTCGCCTCAAAAACGGCAAAATTTCAAACGCCGCTAACATCTTCATTCCCAGTAAACACGACGACGTCGGCCCGACGTCGGGCCGAGGCTCGGCCCGACGTCGGCCCAACGTCGGTTCAACCTCGGCCCGACATCGGCTGGACGTCGGATATGCCCGCATGTTCCGACGTCCAGCCGAAGTCCAGCCGACGTCGAGCCGACGTCGGGCCGAGATCGTTTGCCGAGGTTGACGAGATCGTTTGTCGTTGGACCGACGGGGCCGACGTCGGCATGTTTATTGGGACAACGCGCCAAAAATATCAACCGGCGGCGGGATTCGAGCCCCCCAGTCGCCGACGTCGGCATGTTTACTGGGACAACACGCCAAAAGCATCAACCGGCGCGGCGATGGGATTCGAACCCAGTGTCACTCGAACGCGAAGTCAGTGCGCTAACCACTACACCACGCACCCAGTTAACGGATTTGGTTTGTTTTGTTCGGTTATGCCCTTTCGGTCTGACAAGACCATTTCAGAGCCGGAAGGATCATAGGATGGAGACATTGGTCTTCTTGGCGAGCACCCTGGGTCCAGTTCATATAGAGTTCCTGGTCCCATTGCTGTTACGTGACACTTATTGGAAAGGGCGACCCCACAATGGATTCATATAGCCACTCTTACACACCTGCACCAACGTTTCCCAAAGTGTCCCTTTGATAAGTGGCACTTTGGCAAAGTGACACTTGCCGACTGGCCTTTCTATATGAACTGGGCCCGGCCCTGGTGAGTTTCCGGGGCTGAGCCTGACCAAAGGATAGGCCGAGCAGCCCCCAAGCACTCACCGCACCCGGCTACGGGCGAGCTCGGCTTACGGGCAATCCCAAATGGGATAAAGTTTCCCGTCCAGTCCGGATCAGGGGGTTGCGGTGTGGAGGAAGATTTGAGTTTCCTGAGGATATTTTCAATACAGAAGCTCTTTATGAAACATGAAACATGTATCTTATATTATTTTAACGGTCAAAACAGCGGCCGATGTCGGTCCGACGTCGCCCCGACGTCGGCCCGACGTCGGCTGGAACTCAGCAATTGATCTCGGTCCGACGTCGGCCCGACGTCGGCTGGACCTCGGCTGGATGTCGGAACATGCGGGCATATCCGACATCCAGCCGACGTCGTGCCGAGGTTGGACCGACGTCGGGCCGACGTCGGCATGCCGATGCCGAGTTGCCGACGTCACCCCGACGTCGGCCGACGTCGGGCCGACGTCGGCATGTTTACTGGGTTTTTAAAGGAATCAAGACGTAACAAAAAAGGTTATGCGTGATTCCACTTCGTCTATCAAATGGCTATCTCGGTTTTTTGAAAATTTTGGATTTTGGCCCAATTTTTTTTTTCAAAAAACTGACTTTTTTGGGAAAATAATTATAAAATCCAAAATTTTGAGTGTATCGAAAAAACCGGAATATATGTCAGAGAAGTGGTCTATGTGCACCTACATACAAATTTTGAGAAGAATCGGTTCAAAAATGTGGGAGTTATTCAAAATTTTATGACGTCACGACACATAAAAATTTTGAAAAATGATTTTTTGGAAGTTCTAGACCTCGTACGGAAACAAAAATAGCACCATTCGATTCGCCGTGAAAAACTGCATCAGATAGACACCTTTTTAGGCCTTAACCCTATTCCTGGCGGGGGGGGGGGGGCCTCAGGAGCCCCCCCTGAGGTTTTTTGGTTATTTCTCCCAAACGCGTTGAGCTAGGAAGCTCAAATTTTCTGACTTTTCCTAAAAGGCTTCTACGCAACATGTCTGAAAATTTTGAGTTGATCTGACCTCAGGTCAGGTCACCAGAGGCGGTTTGGTGACCCTACCTCAGAAAAGTTTGCAATCACGCCAGAGCTAGAGTTTCTGACCGATCAATTTCTTCTCTTCAGGCTTTAGTTAGGGTACCAGTATGTGCAATTTGTATATCTCGGAATTTTGATATCGGTGACCTAAGGTCAGGTCAGTTTCGCGACCTCCCCATTATATGTCAATGGGGGAAAAATCAACTCCCTGTTTTTACCACTAAAACGGGTCGGAATGGCCCCATATACCATACATGACTTCATATACGATCAACCTTCACTACCTTGAGGTCTGTTTTGCTGTCGGGCAGCTGTGAGGTCATGTGACGACATCAAAGGTCACCAAAGGTTTTTGGCCAATAACTCCGTACAGGAACAAGATACAGACGCGTGGATGGTCTCATTGTGTTCAGCTCGTCAAGACGCATCGAATGATATACATGATGACCTCGAGGTCACGTGACCTGAGGTCAACCTTTGACCTTGACCTTGCGAGGTCAACATATATATCATTCGATGCGGATTGACGAGAGGATCACGATGATGCCCTTAGTTTGTTCCTATCTTGACTAATTCGAAAGTTATTCGAGAAAAACTCTCTCCATATCTAGCGCCGCCATTTTGACTTTTTCGACCCTTGTGACGTCATCTTTGACCTGACCTGAAAATGACCTTAGTAAAAATTGTAGATCTTGACCGTGCGTATCCGATGCCGTTTACCGTTTGTCGCTATCTTGCTTCGTTCTCGAGATCTCAGGGGGGGCCGAATCGGCCCCCCCCGCCAGTTTCTTGTCCCGGCGGAGCCCGCCAGGAATAGGGTTAAAACCCAACTTCAAAATTTGACCTCACTTGACCTGACCTTGACCTGACCTCGACCTGAAATTCATCCAGACGTGGTTCATATCACTTATTGAGTGTGCCTATTGAATTCTATGAGTAAAATGACCCATAAAACATGTGTCGCACATGCCCTTTATTATATTTTGTTTTTGGTGACCTGACCTGACCTGACCTGACCTTGACCTTGACCTTTGAATGACATTGTATGCAACGAATATTGTCTTGGTAGTCTAAGAACACGTTTTGTGCAATCAGTCTCAGTCCATTCTTCGGCAACTACGGTGCAAGGCCGATACTGTAGAAACTTGCATTTTGTACTCTTGACCTGACCTTGACCTGACCTCTGACCTACTTAAGCAAAAAAAATTGGGCTCTTAAGATCCGCCTTGTTGAGAGCTTTCGATTGCCGTTTTCCCCGTCTTTCTACGACCATCGGTTCGGAAGTTAGGCAGGGGGGCAGAATCTGCCCCCCCCCCCCCCCCCAGCAGGGCGCGTATGGCTGAATAGCCCAGCGGGGCGCGGGTTAAGCTTACAGAGTCTGAAAAGTTTTGAACCAGTGCACTACACTGTCAATCGTTTGTTACTGAATAATTATTTCCAGAGTCTGAAGAACATTACTGAAGAAATGTTTCCAGTGGCAGTAGCGGGTCTGGTGCTGCGACCTATGAGTTCGACTGAGGTTTAGTTAGGTTCGGGAAATGGACGCAGCATTCGGAACAGCTATACAGTACAGTGACAGTCCACGTATGGCTACGAAGCATAGACACACTTTTACACCACCTCACTCAACACATTGGAACATCATATAAAATATTATATTAGTTTTCACAAACAATTCATGGATCACTTGTACATGCTGGCCTTCCCTTGACCGAGTATAGTGCTTTGCGGTTCCTTCGAACACATAATTACCGAATCACTTGCGAGAAGAACATTAAGGCACATTGGCAGGACGGCCTCGGCACACCGAAACATGATTGTCTTTTAAAAAGCAGCACATAAAAAGGATACGATGTAACACACAAGCCGTGATTTAACCAGGTGATCATTTTCAAAGACGCTGGAAATTGAGGAGTGGCGGCAAACGATCAAGTAAAGCACACAACAGCACGACAGCGCGGCGGTCCGCCCCGCGCCCGGACGCGGTACATTTGAGCGAATCAGCCGCACACCGCCGCCATAACACTGTCACACTCACACACAGACACGGTCACGCGTCGGCGCGGTAGCGGAGGTAGCGCGGCCCCGCTGAATCACACGGCCGCGGCGGCCACTGGGCAGTGGGGGACGACTCGGACACTACCTACACACACACGGGGCGCGGCGCGCGCTACTGGTGTGCCGGCCGCCGCCAGTAGCCCGCTCCGTCGGCCGCCAGCGGCGAGCTCTGACCGAGCGGCGGCGCCGGCCGGCCGTACGCGCCCAGGCCGGGCGGGTGCCCGTTGGCCAGCGGCCGGCCGCCGTTGGTGAGCGCCGGGTACGAGTGGGACGTCGGGTAGCCGCCCGGCTGCGAGCTCGAGTAGCTGGACGGCTGTGAGCTCGGGTAGCCGCTCGTCTGCGAGCTCGGGTAGCCGTGCGCGGCCGGGTAGCCGTCGGCGCCGTGCGTGAAGCCGTGCGCCGCCGGGTGGTAGCCGCCGTGTCCGGCCGGAGGGTACGGCTGACACAGGGACGACGAGCCGCCGGCGGAGGACGGCGTCAGAGAGGACGGCACCGACTGGTCTGACAACACCTGCGGGCGGGCGGCAGCGGCAGACGTCACAGCCAGGGGACATCACTCGGGGCGCAGTCATCATCGTTATCGCACTCAGACGCCCATCGGGCTCATGCCAGAGAAGTGCCTGTCCCGAAGCCAAGTCCGGTAACCTGTAGTTGTAAACATCAATTAGGTACTTATGTTCGCTAAGTAGGTGCCGAGTGCTTATTCCACCCACTGACTAGTTCACACTGACCTGTGGCAGGCGACCGCCGCGACGCACCAGCAGTCGCACCGCGGAGCCGCCGTCCTTGATAAGCTCGATTGCATCGGCGTGCGTCAGATCCCTGGCGCTGTTGTGGTTTATCTCGAGGATCTGGTCACCCACCTGGAACCACAAATAAGCACCGTTAACAGAATCATAGACCTTACGACTTTTTCCAAACCCGCCGCGAAACATCGAAAACTTATGCAGAAAAGAACACGGCTATTTTGAATAACAACGGAACACTGATCCCCACTCCCGCTTCTTCCCCAGTCCCCGATCCAGTCCACTTCTCCTTCGTTCAGTTCTGCGGTCTCGAATCCCTCTCTGTCCCGACTCCCGCTCTGTACCCCTTCCGTCCGCCTACAATCCGTACCCTGAGCCGTCCGTCCAGCACCGCGGCCCGTTCTCGGCACCGACCCCCGCTCTCTCCCCCTGCCACTCTGTCCCCGACTCCGTACCCTGAGCCGTCCGTCGAGCGCCGCGGGCCCGTTCTCGGCTATCCGCAGCACGTAGAGCGGCATGTTGAACTCGCGGCCGCCGCGGATCGAGAAGCCGAAGCCGCGGTGGCCGCGCTGGAACTGGATGGTGTGTAGCTCGCCGTCTCCAGGCGCGCCGTCCCCCAGCTGGTGCTCCTCCTGACCAGGCGGGTAAGGTCCAACGTCAAACGGGCCACAGCGCGATCACAGGCATGGGTCAAGAGTCACAGTGGGTCGACATAGGAGGCTTGTGGGTAGAGGAGTGCCGTGATGTGATAGCTTAGCCAGGTGCATAAGGACTTCGATATTATTTCGATCGCTGCCCTAGTCTCTAGATAGAAAAGTAATCCTACTTTTGCTACCAACAAACACGCTCGTCAGGTCAGCAAGTAGGGCCCAGTCGGGTCTAGGACGAGGTCTGGCGTGTACCCAGTCCCGCTGGTCCGATTGGAGCGCCGTTCGTCACCTGCCTACGGGCCATTGTACACAGTCAGTCCGTGTCGTCTGTGCACTAACCTCAGTCGAGACTGGTCTGCCGGGCGGTCCTGCCCGCGCCCAGTGCCATCCAGCCCTGGTCGAGGTCACAGTCATACAGTCACAGTCACACACTCGGTAAGTCCGACAGTCCGCGATAACGCAAACCGACCAGTCAGTGATTGGCATAAAATCGCAATCAACTTGAGAAGTAAGAAAAGAAGTGTGTAACAGTTTTCTATGAACTGTCTGCCAGTGCGCAAAAGACTGCCGCGAAAAAGAGGCTGCGACCTTAGTGTGGAGCGTTTTGACAGTCGCTAGCAAACCGAATCTCAGTTTTACGTTAGACGGCAGGCATTTACAACGATGTTAACTAGACCGGATAATTGTTTGTCTGTAGTCGCATGCAGAGTGATACCTGAAGTCCCGCACGGTCGGGTCAATGTCAGCCGTCCTGTCACGTGACCACAGGTCAGAGTCGGGCGTCTGGTCACGTGACGTCACGGTGGTCAGGTAGGCCGAGGCCGGTATCAGCTCGCTCTGTACGACAACCCGTCAGCAAAGTCGGTCAGCTTTATACAAGTCCATGTCTCAGTTAACTCAACAATGGTCGAACGATTCCGTCTCCAAATTAACTGGCCACATCGTATGGTTCTTCCCGCGTACCTGCAACCCTTCACGGCTACAAAGCACCTCTCGTTCTTAACGATAATTCTCAAGAAGTAAAGAAATCAAGCATCGACGGCCAGTTGGCCGGTCATTTCACCTCGTCCCATCGCCGCCATTGCCCGCTGTGTTCTCACGGCCTCACCTTTTGCGGCGTGGAGGCGGTGCTGGACGAGTCGTCTGTGGGCGGCCCGAGAGTGAGCGTCACGCGCAGCCCGCCCTCCTTGATGAGCGTCACCACCTGGTCGTGGTGCAGACCGGCGATCGGCGTTCCGTTCACGGCCAGCACCCGGTCACCGACGAACAGGCGGCCGCAGCGCGCCGCCGGACTGCCGTCCAGCACGCGGCCAATGGTGGCGCCCACCCGGCCCGCCGACGAGATGATGACGAACCCGAACCCCTCGCCGGCACCGCGCGTCACCGTCACCTCGTACGGGTAGGCGGGCGCCGGCGGCGCGTGGCGCGGCCGGGCAGCCGGCGACAGCAGGCGCCGCACGCCCAGCTGCAAGGAGAGTGCAGAGAAATATAAATTGGAACGAGGCAAACGACCGGTCACGACATGAAAGGAGCACGTTATAATGTGCGATACGTATAGCCATCGGACGATTTATCTTTCTTCTGAAACCACCAAAGACACATGGGATGACAACTAGCAGCACTACGCACACCAGGACTGTCCCCTCGATAGCCCCCACACACTCCCCCGGTGGGCTGTGCGCGGCGGCAGACTCTCTCAGCGGACTTTGCGCGGACTGTCCCTCAGCAGACTCACCTGCACCCGGCCACCGGCGCGGCTCATCAGCTGCACCACGTGATGGTGCGACGAGCCAATCACCAGCTGGCCGTCCACGTAGATGATCTCGTCTCCTGTCTGCAGGCGGCCGTCTAGGTCGGCCGCGCCGCCCGGAACAATGTGCCCGATCGACACCTGCGAGCCCTCCTCGGTGCCGCCCACAATGCGGAACCCGAAGCCGGTCTCGTGTCTGTCCAGGGTGACCGAGGTCTCCACCCAGTGCGGGCGCGGCAGACGGGGCACGGACGCCGGCGCCGGCTGCTCCTGCTCGAAGCTGGTGCTCTGTTTGCGCCGCTGGTGGTGCGCCGAGGCGGGCGGCGGGCCCGGCCGCGCCGCCGGACCGTTCGGCCGGTGATACGAGAAGGGCTGCGTGCCGTGCCGCGGGCTGGCCGGCGCCGGGTAGTCGCCGTAGTTGCCGCCGTAGCCGCGTCCGTCGGCCGGCGGCCGCTCGCCGGGCCAGCCGTCTCCGTAGCCGGGCCCGGGTCCGCCCCAGTACGGCGGCGGGCCCGGCCGGTACGGCTCGGCGTGGCCCGGCGGCGGGCCGTAGCCGGGGTCGGGCACGCGGTGCGACTGGCTGCCGCCGTAGCCCGAGTCGGCGGCCCGGTGGACCGGCTCCGGGTCGTACTCGGCGTACCGGTAGGCCGGCCGGTCGGTGCGGTGCGCCGGCGCCCGGTCGGCCGGGTGGTAGCCGGACCGCTCGTGGTACGGCTCGAAGCCGCGGCCGTCGGGCGGCCCCGGGTACGGCGGGTAGGGCGGCTCCTCGGGCCGTCCGTCGGCCGTGTACAGCAGGCTGTCGGGCTGGCCGTCGGGCGGGTAGGCGCGCTCGGCCAGCGCTGCGCTCTCCGAGGTCTCCGAGCTGTACGGGTCACCGGTGGGTGTGCGGCTGCGCTGCGGGTGCAGACTGGGCTGAGAGGCACGCCGGCCGCCGCCGACCGTGCCGCCCCGCTGTACCGTCATCGTAGAGTCCCGGTACAGCGGGCAGTCCTTCAGCACCTGCGGACGGACAGTGGAGAGCGACGGTCACACAACGGTAGCAAAAGTCACACAGATGCACCAACGTAATCCAGCAACCGCGTACGGTGGCCATCAACAATCATAGCCGTCATACAGAGCCGAGCGTAGGCACAGAGCGGTCACAGAGCAGACAGTGAGGAACAGTCGCGCATCAAACCCCGTCCGCCCTGAACACCTCACCCACCTGCACCACATCGGCGTGCGGCATGGCCTTGAGCGGCACGCCGTTGATCTGGACGAGGATGTCGCCCTCCTGCAGATCGGCGCACCGGCCGCGGTCCAGGATCTTCTTCACCTTCTGGCCGTGCGCCGAGTCGGCGATCGTGAACCCGAAGCCGGCGTCTCCCTTGGCGATGGACACTGTCAGGAAGCGGGGCTTGGGCGCCGGCCGCGGCACGCCGTCTGCGGGGAAAGGGCTGGTTTCAGCGAACGCTACACTTTGATACAGTATCACGGATGCCAGTTGCGTACAATGGCGACTGCTGTCAGCGGGCGTCTGCACTGACACGGTGTCACCATTGCCAGCAAGAGGTTGCGCTGGGGACCTGTGACGACCGAGCCTTTTCTTTGAGCCTCTCCTAGTTTCCTCTTCGCCCCGTCCCGCCTCTGGGTCTCTCTCCCCACACGAGAGTAGATCCACTACCCTCATCCCGCCCCTCGGTCTCCCTCTTACCTGACAGCAGGTCGACGGAGCTGGGCCGGTGAATGCCCTCCGACCGCTGGCCGCCGCCGCCGCCGCCGCTCAGGTCCGGCATCGATTTAGAGGCGTTGACGCCGTACTCGGCCAACGGCGGCGTGTCCCCCCGCCGGCCGTAGCCGTTCTCGGCTGAGCTGCGAGACCGCGGCAGGTATCCGCCATCTGTGGCAGAGACGGACAGACGTACTTACAACATGGTTCATAGAGGGCACCACGGGTCGGCGCCTGTAGCTATGCTGTGCCGCATGGCTCAAAGACGGCTCGCGCTTCGTATGGTGTCTGTACAGCGCATAGTAGCGAGTGCTCACGAAAATACCGCCGGAATAAGTATTTGAATCAATTGGGATGGTTTCAAGTTTACTTATCAGGCAATGTCAATCAGCCGTCGACCATGCGACTACCTCATTCAATGTAAAAAACAATCATAAAGTTAGCAATTTGCGAGAGTTGAGAGCGAGAATGACTGATGTTAACTGACACGAAAGAAGCTGCACGTGCTCACTACTCCATGCAGCAGTTCTGCCGTCGCCACCGTTCCAGCCCATGGCGGCGACAACTGCCCGGACTCTATAGTCTGTACGGTCCCCACCCGCCGCGCCGAGTGCCGGGCCTCCCCGTTCCTCACCCGCGGAGTTGACGGCCATGGTGGTGACGATCTCCGTGTCGGGGTCATCGGGGTCGAACGGCAGTGGGTAGCCGCGGCACACCTCGAGCTGCACGAGCTCGCCGACGGCGATCGTTTGGAACATGTGTACCATGTCCCGGTGCGTGTAGCCCAGCACACACTGGCCGTTCACGTACACCAGCACGTCACCTGGAACAGCGGCCAACGTCAGACAACGTCCCAGCACACACTGGCCGTTCACATACACCAGCACGTCACCTGGAACAGCGGACAACGTCAGACGACGTCACGGCACACACTGGCCGTTCACGTATGTAAATCAGCACGTTACCTCGAACACGAGGCAGCGGCAAACGTCAGCTGATGCCACGGCACGCAGTAGTCACTAGTACACAGGTATATACTAAGGAGAAAGGTCAGGTAGACAAAGTCACCACCATTCCGTATCCCTCCCACCCCGGCGTCCGCGCCAGCCCCACTGACCTGTCTGAAGCCGCCAGTCGCCCTCCCACCCCACCGTCCGTGCCAGCCCCACTAACCTGTCTGCAGCCGCCCGTCTCGGTCGCTGGGGCCGCCGGGCACCACCGACTTTATCTGCAGGAACTCCTCTTCGTCGTTGTCGCCGCCGACGATCGTGAAGCCGAGTCCCTGCGGTGACTTGCAGAGCGTTGTCCGTATCGTCTGGCCACCCAGTGCCGACGGCTCGCGTGTGAAGAACGGACGCTGACCGTCTGGGGAGGGGGGAGCGGTCAGTACGGCGGCGCACGGCACGGGGCACTCGACAATGAACCACACTGGTGGGGTCTGGGACAGGTAATGTCTGCTCTACAGCTACAGGTATTACTTATATCGCTGAGCTGATTGCAGGCTTAGTATCGTAACTCTTTACTAGACTATAGTTCTTGGCGTGTCACATTAATGTCAACATTAGATCATAAAAGGAAGCATGATTCACGAATTCGTGCTTGAAAATCAAATCAAATGCGTCCTCGCCTGGTTATAATTACGATTGTCAATGACATAAAAAAATCTACTTGGAAGACGATACAAGATAGCACATATAAAATCGGGGTTAGAGTTAGCGCGGGTCAGTAAGTCAGTTTGTCATCTCCACACCGACTCCGGTTAGAGGTGTTAGTCGTCCACCACCGGTTACCACCACCAGCCGCCCCGCTGTGCGTCAAAGCTGCTGCTGCCGCGCCCCGCCCGGCGCCGGGCGCCGTTAGAAGCTGGTCGGGTGCTGCTGCTGCGCGTAAGGCTGCGGCGGTGAGCGGCGCGCGTCAGGCCGGGGCTGTACCTCTGGCGGCCGCCGCCGGCGCCGCAGAGCCGATCGGGTGGAAGGAGGCCTCGCTGGCGCTGACGGCGCGCCGGCGGCCCGGCTCGCCGGCGCAGCGCACGCGCGCCGGACACGCCAGGTGCGCCGTCAGGTCTGTGTGGCCGAACACGGGGTCACGCGGCACCGACATGGCCTGGCTGCCGGCCACCGGGTTGGAGAGGCTGCGGCCGTGGCGCGGTACGGCCGGCGGTGGCGCCGCCGGCGGCTGCAGCGAGGCGTGGCGCGCGTGCTGCGCCGGCTGCTCACCAGCGGCGGGCGCGCCGGCCGGCGAGCCGGGCCGGTAGGCCGCCAGCTGGGAGCTGGCGGCGATGTCCGGCAGTGAGTAGCCCACGTAGGCGGGCGTGCGCAGGTACTCGGCAGGGCTGGTGACCAGGCCGGCCGGCTCCTCGCCGCCGCTCAGGCGCCGCTCAAAGTGCACGTTCTGGTAGTGCATGCGGCTGGGGAACACGGGCCGCGCGAACCGCGGCACGATGGTCTGTCCGAGCGTGGGCGGCTGGCCCGGCTCGGCCGGCCTCCACACGGCCGGGTCGCTGGCGCTGTGCGCGTGCGCCGCCGCCGGGAACGGCCGGCCCAGCGCGAAGCTGGCCTTGGGCAGGGTGGGGGTGGAGGTGGCCGACGGGAAGGACTCGGTCAGAGAGCGGGCCGATAGCCGCTGCGTGTGACGCGAGGGCTTCTTGCGCGGCCGGCTGTACACGTGGCGGGCGTACACGGGCGCCAGCGAGTCGGTCTTCTCGGCGCCCAGACACGGCAGGCAGGGCAGCAGCGAGTGGCCGCGGCCTGGCGACACGGACGGTGTGTCACTGCCTGGCACCCGGCGGTCGACGACCGGCCCCGGTCATGCTACAGAGTGGTTACCTCGGGGGTAAGGGAGCGCCCGTGAACAAACCATGGTAAACCCGTGAGCATCGCGAGGGAAACATCCCGACAAGATGCGTAGAGGAGGAACGAAACGGTGAGACAAAGTGCAAACAGACCAAACGATAGGCCATACAAAATGCAAACAGACCAAACAAAACCAGGCAAACACCAGCATTCAAGTGCTAGGTTCAAACCAAACTGCAAACGCAAAACTCTGACATCATATTTGGTGCAAACAGAACCCGATAAAGTCAGCCAAAGACGACCAAAACAGACGACAGGCAGACGGACGAACAGACGGGCGGGCGTGCACGGTAGGGCGGCATGAGCCGTGACCGGGGGATTCAGGCGGTGCAGACCCGCGGCCCGGCGCCGGTACCTGGGCTGCGCGGCCGCTCCGGCAGCTGCCACTCACTGGTGGAGCGGCGCGGCGGCGGCGGAGCGGCTCCCTCCTCCGGCGCTCCCGGCACGGAGCCGGAGCCGGAGCCGGCCTCAGCGGCTCCCGACACCGACTCGGAGCCCTTCTTCTGGCGCGGGAACGTGTTGTTACCGGAAGTGGGCGCTTCCGGTCCCGGCTCTGGGGACCCGGCGGTGTCAACTGTGGTGGCGGGGCAGCAGAGGTCAGTCAGGCTTCAGCCAGTAGCCAAGGGTACTTGACAAGATGTCAATGGTACTACAGATATCGGTCAAGCTCGTGATGTATCGCAGTTCGCAAAGTCGAGATGAATAAGCCACAGAATAATATGTTTTCCGGTTTCATTCATCGCCGACATTCATTCTCTGCAAACATGACACGATGACGCCGAGCTAGTTCCATGTCCTTGGCGAGTGTCTCGATATGCGGCTAGATAGTCGACGTGGTCACGTTTCTGGCCGGTATCGTCTCTAAGCTCGGAGTTCGTGAGGGGGACAGGTAACTGGTTTCTGCGCGGCGATTTAACCCGGCCGTGTCTCTCAATCCTAGCGGAGACGGTACAGTAGACAGACGCCGGCCGGAGGTCTCACAATGGGCCGATATAGGCCAACTCGTCCAATGGTGTCACTACATTACAATGACGTCACTCGATCTAGTACTGAGGCTAGACGGATGATCGGATGAGTGTTACAGCCTTGAAACCGACTTACCTGACAGTCACTGGCTTTATCAAATATTGACTGATCATATACCGCCGCCGGACAGAACGGACTACTATAAATATCATCTACTAACTACTGCTCAGCAATCTAATCTATCTACTATCTACCTACTGTTAATTCAATCAACATTGGAATCCTACCTTGAGCCTCACGCCGCAACTAATGCATGCGGTGACTAACGGCTAAAACAACACTTCACCAACCCCCCCTGGGGTTGGTGAAGGCTAAAACTAACGGCTAAAACAACACTTCACCAATCCCCCCTGCCCCGCACCCCCTACAGGCCTACACCCTATCTATCCCACTTCAACCTCAGACCACTGAGAGCCCCCGCCCCGCCCCCCGCCCTGTGTCCGCTAAGAGCCCCCACCCCGCCCCGCCTGTCACCCCCCCCCCCCGCCCCGCCACGCCCTCCGCGCCGTACCTGGCTGCGGCGGCTGCCGGCGCGCCTCGTGCACCGGGTTCTCGTACTGAGTCCGCCGGTTCATGTGGTCGATGTAGTAGGTGCCGTAGGCCGGATCGTCGATCCGCTCCCAGCCGTACGGCAGCTCGTTGTCGCCACACTCTTCCAGCGATTGTTTCTGGACGCGCGCCAGCCGCGGGTCCAGCCAGTGGGAGGTGCCCGTCTCGTGGCTGTCGGAGGGAGGGGGTAGTCAGGAGCGCCAGCCGCGGGTCCAGCCAGTGGGAGGTGCCCGTCTCGTGGCTGTGGGGAGGGGGAGGGGGTCAGAGATCCGCCAGCCGCGGGTCCAGCCAGTGGGAGGTGCCCGTCTCGTGGCTGTCAGAGGGAGGGGGAGTTAGGAGCGCCAGCCGCGGGTCCAGCCAGTGGGAGGTGCCCGCCTCGTGGCTGTCGGAGGGGGGATGGGGAGTTAGGAGCGCCAGCCGCGGGTCCAGCCAGTGGGAGGTACCCGTCTCGTGGCTGTCGGAGGGAGGGGGAGTTAGGAGCGCCAGCCGCGGGTCCAGCCAGTGGGAGGTGCCCGTCTCGTGGCTGTCGGAGGGGGGGGGGGAGTTAGAGGTCCGCCAGCCGCGGGTCCAGCCAGTGGGAGGTGCCCGTCTCGTGGCTGTCGGAGGCAAGCAGGGGCGTCAGACAAGTCCGCCAGGGCTGCTAACTAACAAGGCACAACGCTCGGTATGATGTCGATGAATGAGATGACTGCAACCTGCATGATTTTACCGATTATCTTATGACTTGGGGCAATAATAGCCACGGCTGATTGTGGACTGCCCTGCAAATGTAATACATAGGTACATACATACATAGGTACATGAATAAAACGCAACAGCGCACACTAAAATTGTTTCTAATCACAATCGTTCTTTATCACTTCGAAACGGTGAGTAGCACTTATCGGCATCGTTAAATAAATAAAAAACTGTGTAGCTGAAGAAACTGGTTGGTTCATTTCATAGATGAGCGTAATAATTCGGTTAATAAGTGGGATTTTATTTAAGAGGTCCAGTTCTTCAATTATCAAATTTCACCACCACCATGCGGACCTGGACGTCCTATCGTACTCACTTGATGAAGTAGGGCTCTCCGAACTCGGTGTAGGCCTTCTCCCAGTGGTCGGGCAGGGGGCCGAGCTCTGAGGTGGGCGTCTCGGAACGGTCCCAGACGGGCCCAGAGCCCTGTGACACGCTGCCATCGCCCGGCTGCGGCGGGCCCGGCCGGTACTCCGGGGCTGCCGCACAGTGGACAATGTCAGAGTGGCTGTGGGATGGACACGGACTGTCAGAGAGACTGGGGGAGGGACACGGGCCGTCAGGGCGGCTGGGGGAGGGACACGGGCCGTCAAGGTGGCTGGGGGAGGGACACGGACCGTCAGAGCGACTGGGGGAGGGACACGACCGTCAGAGCAGAGCGAGTAGGGGAGGTACTGGGCGGGACACGGGCCGTCAGAGCGACTGTGGGAGGGACACGGACCGTCAGAGCAGAGCGAGTGGGGGAGGGTCTGGGTGGGACACGAATCGTTAGAGCGACTGGGGGAGGGTCTAGGTGGAACACTGTCCCGTCAGGGAGACTGGGCTGGGAGCTGGGTGGGACACGGACTATCAGAGTGACTGGGGGAGAGACTGGGCGGGACACGGGCCGTCGCCCGTCAGTGACTGGACTGGGAGCTGGATGGGGCACGAACCGTCAGAGCGGCAGGGTTGGACATGGACCGTCAGATAGGCAGGGCTGGGGGCTGGGCGAGACAATGACCGCCAGAGCGACTGGGCTGGACAGTGGACACGGACCGTCAGAGTGGCTGAGCTGAGGGTTGGACTGGTTCGCGGACAATGTCAGTGCGGCTGGGCTGCCACGAGAGCCGTCACAGCGGCTCGGCGGGGGTTAGGTTGGATCGCGGACAAAGACAGAGCGGCTGGGCTGCCACGCGGACCGTCAGAGTGGCTGGGCTGGGGGCTGAGCTGAGCCGAACCGTGGACACTATCCGAGCGGCTGGGCGGTGGTCCGAGTTCGAGGACTGAACGGGATGAGAGTCGCCAGAGCGGCTCTGACAGGGGTTGGGTATTAGAGCTGAGCGGGATACAAGCCGCAGGGGCTGGCCAGCGGACTGACTGCGGGGGTGCTCGGCCCTCGGTTAGAAATGTGGGGAGTCCGTGCTGACGATGTCCATTTTTCTGAGACGAGGTATATTATATACATCTTCGGGCAACGACCTAAGTGGGCTGGGGGCTGAGCTGAGCCGAACCGACCTTCATTTTGTCGTCTTGAAGCAAGGACGACAAAATGAAAGAGGTGAAGCAAGGTCTTCGGTAATGCTCGACTATGTCCGTGATTATATCATCATTGTTCATTGCTGTAACAAGCTAAATGGCGAGTGTTGCACTCGTCATCTGGCATAAGCAGCTCGGAAAATTGGGGGTTATTACTTCATTTGGGGGATAATGCTGGCTTCAAGTGGATACAAAGGCAACACGACGGCTAAATGAAACACCGTGCCCTATCTACCGCTTGATGGCATATCATCAGTAGTCATTCATCTACTTTCTGCCCCCAAGCAGGTCAATGGTAAGCACGCATTGCCACAAATTGTCTGAGCTATGCACGGCTGTGTAATAAGTTACGATACATGGCTGGCCAACTTACCATATTATGTTATGGAAAGCACTCGGGGAAAGTGTTGCCTGCACAGCAGAGCTTGGAACTTTCGGGTGGATGTCGAATGGTGAAGGGCGAGTGTTGGGTGCACGTCGGATTTCCACCTCTGCGCTGGGGGCTCCCGGGCGGCTGCCGATCGCTCCCTCCCTCCCTCCCCCTAACCCACATTTGTGTCTCGGGTGCCGGGCCCGGCCCTAGTCCCTGCCCGCCTCTGTGTCGGGGACTGCAGCCAGGCAGCTGCCGGTCCCCAGCTCTGTGCCTTCGCTACCGGTCCCCACCCACCTGTGTATCGGGGCTGTCTGGCGGCTGCCGGAACACATGTCTGTGCCGCCGGCTCTCGCACGGCCCCCCCCCCCCGCCACCCCCAGCTCTGTCCCCACCTCCCGGTAGGTCCCCCACCTCCGTCCCACCCCCGGCCCCCACCTCTGTGCCGCGGGCTGTCGGGCGGCTGCCGCTCGCCGCCGCTGGCCGCCATCGCCTCCACGGTGGATCGGTTTCGCCTTCTCTTGCCCTCGCTGCTGGGATGCCGGCCGCTCAGTAGCGTGTCGCCGCTGACCTCTCTGGAGCTCTGCGCGGCCGACCGGGAGGAGGCCGGGTCGGCGGCCGGCCGGGGGGTGCCATACAGGTGACCTGAGGGACACCGTCGGCCGTCAGAGGACACACTGGCGGCGCGGGACACCACAGTGGCGGGCCGGGGAGACTGTCGTCGGAGGAACACGCTCGAGCTCACCTTTCATCAGCAACGAATATACGCTTCACAAATAACGTCACAGCAGAGCACCGCTACACCGCTATAGTTCACTGTTCAGCACAGCTCTCAGACACGGCCAAACGGCCATAGACACATCTCCTCTCAAACAGACACACTAGAGACCAGCCCGAACCACAGATAACACCTGTACGTCGGCACCGCGGCCAACGAGAGGGACAGTACCGAAGGACCACATTCAGCAGCCGTCGGCAGCGAACAAACCCCGTGTGGATCCACCAGAACGGACGGCTGGCGTCCGGTTTCAGTGACGGAACAAAGCCAACGGTACCTACATTTAATCCGGCGCAGGGTAATGCGCCACTGCCGCGATAAACTCGGCGTAATTATAGCTGACGATAGCACAGGACGGGTTATGTAACAGCCCGTTATACAAACATCTAGCAGATTTGCAAATTTTGATCCGCTAATAACTAACTTCGGAAAGCTATGTAGCTGTTTCATTAATGGGCACTCATTAAATCACCAAGGAATGCAGTGTTTCACGTAACTATCTAGTTGCAAGGTAAACGTGATTCGCAATATTGCTATAGTCGTGTTCTGTTTGGGATCGCTATTCTACAAACGTCAATAGCGAGATGTTTCAAATGAACAGGGACTTGAAAGACGAGGGAGACGCTGGGAACTGGGAAGTAAAACTATTCACCATCAATATGTACATTGTGGACACGCATCTGATACAGGTACGATACAAACGATCTCTACATACACAGCCACTCACTGCAAGCACCATGCATCGTACAGGCACGTAAGAACATGCACATCGTGTTAGATTAAAACCAATGCATACAACGGGCAGGCCTACCGTCACCCCATGCGGCTAGTGATAGGTCCGTGTGATTTCAATCACCACCGTGCTTTGTGAAAGACCGTGTTACGTATCGTGCATCAGTTAGTCAGGGATTCAGTCAGAGTCGCACTGTTTGTCTGTGTCATTGCTAGTCCGGCTAAACGGTGCATCGATGTCGTACCCTGACTCGTGTTACGAACTAATAATTCATCGAGTCTATCTGCTGGGGTCCTCGTCCCACACTATCCCGTGATCAATAAGCATGACCCGTCTGAGTAAATTTGTCACAATTCTAAATTTCATCTGTCATGTAACAAGTAACTTGCGTTCATATCATCATGCTTTATTTAGTCTTAAAATCTCTTGTGATGTCAAGAGTGTTCAAATGAGTCATTTTAATCAAAGATCGGAAATCTACCGTCAAAAGTAATTAAGTATGCAGTCAGGCATCCTACGTCCGGCTCCTGTGTCAACAGTATGTTTTCGGTCCCCGGATCCCCAGCTGAGCTCGGTCCTACAGCACAAGTGTGGTACGTCTCACACAGTGCACGTCGCCACCTGTCGCGTTTTCACCTACCGGTGCCGGCTGGGGCGTGGTTCCGCTGGCCGTGCCCGGTCTGTCCGCCGTGTCCGCCGTGTCCGCTGTGTCCGCCGTGTCCGCTGCCCTCGCTGCGCCGGCTCCGGCGGCTGTGACCGCTGCTGTGGCCGCTGCTGTGGCCGCTGCTGTGACTGTGGCCGCCCCGGCTGTCCTGTGAGCCGGGCGACGGCGGCCTGACCGCCGGCACCGTCTGCTCCAGGTACTGCTGCCAGTGCTGCCGGATCCGCTCCCGCCGCATCTCCGGTTTCTCCCAGTTGGGTATGATCAGCTCGAGCTCCGCCTCCTGGTCCGGGGTCGGGCCCTGTCCTGAGGTGACCGCGGTCCCCCGCCGCTGCGTCCAGCGCTGCTCGACGCCCTCAGACGGACCGGGCGGCACGGATTCGGGCTGCTGTCCAGCCCCGGCCGCGGTACCCGATGAAGGCGGCGGCAGCTCAGTGACGCCGCTCCGGACATCAGCACCGTACGGCTGTGTCGAGTTTGCCTCAGCCGTGGCCTGGGTAGAGGCCGCCGATACTCCCTGGGCGGCTCCCTGAACGGCCGGCTGACCGGGCACTTCGGTAGCACACTGAGCGGCGCCCAGGGTGTCACCGGCGGGTCGTTCAGCGCCCTCCCGCACAGGGACGCGGCTCGGCGGCTCGGCCTCCGACCGGGCAGACTCCGCCACCTCTGCGGACCCCGGCTCGGCAGGCTCTACCTGTACCTTCTCCAGCACAAAGCGGGCGCCCGTCGGCTTGAACGCGCCCGGAAACACGGGCACAAACGTGCTCTTTTCCGAGTGGTGCTTGTAGTCGAACTTCTCCAGTGAGACGCTGCGTCGGAGGTCCTCCATCGAATGAAACTCGGGCTCCCGGTCGTCTGACTGCGGCTCAGTGCGCGCCCGCTCCAGCGGCGGTCGGCGGCCATCACCCTCTGGTGCGGCCTGAGCTCTCGCTGCGCTGGTCTGCTCCAGAACATCGACGATGCCCCGGATTCCCTTTTCTCCATACATATCAGCGGCGTCACGATCCGCAGTGGCCGCGGGGCTGTCGTCTCTCGCGGCGTTCTCGTCACCCTCGGCGGGGTAGACGAAGCCGCCGGACTGGCTCCTGCCGGACCGGCGCACCGTCGGCATGCCCAGATACTCGAACGGAGTCATCGCGTCCACCGTCGTCGCCGACGAGGACGTCATCGAAGACGACGAGGCGTCGCTGTAGCGGTCGGCGGTGCTGTCGCTGCCGCGCAGCCGGGACAGCGGCGGCCGGCGCGGCGGCGGGCGCGGCGACGCGAACGACGCCAGCGACTGGCCGTGCCGGGCCGGCGGCCAGATGTGCACGTCGGCCGCCGCTGTGAGCGCGGCCGACGGCGGGTTCGGCGCAAACACGCTGTCCATCGAGTAGAAGCGGTTCAGCGGCGCCATCGGCGGAGCGTGGTCCTCCAGGGGACCGACGGCCAGCGAGCTGCGGCGCTCAGACGGCGCCTCCGACCCCTCTGGAGCCTCTAACCCCTCCTCTGTCGCCTCCGACCCCTCCTCTTGCGCCTCGCCGCGCTCTTCCTTCTCCCTCGAGAAGGACACCCTCCTCCACAGCTTACTTAGACGCTTTTTCGACGACTTGACAACGCCGCCTTTTCGTTTCTTCACATCCTGTTGCTCTTCTCCGCCAGCTGCCTCCGCCTCATTCGGTAGAGACTCGGACTGTCTTACGTGAAACTGAGTGGCACCCGTGGTTTTATCATTGGTGTTAGTTGCTTGATCTCTATCAATAGCATTGGTATACTTTCCATCGTACGGGACTGCATAGATCGGACCATCGCTCTCCGTTTCCAATCCAACACTAGCGCCCGGACTTTCGGCGACCGGTGACAAGGGCAGCGGTTTGTTCGGCACCTTCTGTTCGAGCCGCGGGGTCTGCGGGGCACTGGGGGTCGGCGTCACGGCCCCGCCCGGCAGGATATCCAGTGCCCCGGTCAGGCCCAGCTTCCGCAGCATGAGCCGCTGGTGGCGCATGTAGGTGTTCTCCAGACACTCCATACAGCGGCAGGGCTGGACGTGGTTGGGCGGCGGCGGCGGAGGCCGGAGCAGCGCCGCCGCGTCCGGCGCCACCTGGCCCCAGCGGGCCTCCATCGAGCAGCGGTGCCGCCACATGCGGCAGTCGCGGCACTGGCAGATCGCCTCCACGGCCGGCGCCGGAGCCTCGGCCTCCGGCTCCGAGAGGGCAGACCGGCCGCCGTCGGAGAGGGTGGTGCTGTGCGACCTGGCCCGCACGAGGTCCGCTCGCCTCTCCCCGCGCTCGTCGCGGAGGAGTCCGTCTCCTGAGGAATTCCCCCGCCGGTCTCTGCTCGTCTCCCTGTACCTGTCGCGGTGCCCGCGCTCCAGCCGGTCGGTGCTCTTAGCGCGGCGTCTGTCCGCGCCCCAGCCGTCGCCGTCGACCCGGCCGGCGCGCACCCAGTCCTCGCGCTCGTCCCCCTCCTGGGCGGCCCTCCGCGCGCGCCGGCCGTGTCTGGGCACGGCCCCCGCGCCGTGGGGATCGGCCCGGGCCGAGCCGCCCAGCACCACATCGCCGGCGAACAGGCCGCTCGACTCGGACGAGGTCCGGTACCGGGGCGCGCGGCTCGGGGGAGCCCGGTGCCGTCTGGCGCGCCGCTCCTCCTCCACAGAGATCACGGAGGACGAGCGGGACGACTGCCACGCCCACTCGCTGCCAGAGCTCGGTGTCAGCGACTGCCGCCCCGGCGGCGGGTGGCGCGGGGCGCGCGAGGAGGCGATGCGAATGCCACGTTTGCGGGGGCGCGCGCCCGACATGGCGGCCCGTCGATGGCCCGGCCCGGTCGCCGGAAATCGGGACTGGCGACCTCCCTGAGCAGAGTCCGTCGGCGACTCAGACAGTCTGCCGCCGCTGTGACCTGCCGAGGGCCGACCGCTGCTGCCCGAGGAGGCCGAGGTACGCTGAGCTCTGTGATGACGCGCTGACGGTGCTGCCGTCTGGCGGCCGGTCTGCGAGTCCGGAGGGGCCGCTCGAGCGCCGCCGACGCCGGCAGGGGCGCTCCAGTAGGCGGGCAGGGCCAGGTACAGCGGTGTGTCGGGGCGAGCCGGCGCGGCCGGTGGCGTGCTGCCGTAGAACGCGCCTAAAACAGGCCACCGACACCGTCATGCACAGCCGGCAGGTGGGGTGCGGGCGGGTACGGGCGGGCCCAATGGTACAGGGACACCGGGGACATGCGAGTGAGCCATCAACCAGCACCACACAGCGAGCCAAAATAATTAGTACGGGGAGCGCCGGGCCCGTTAGTGAATCCAGTGCCGTGTGCCCTGAAGCCCGGGTCGTGAGCCATGCACCCGTCCACCAGGGCGGCTCGGACCGAGCGTGTCCGTGCCTCCGCCGTGTCAGTGGTTCACGGCAAACGCAGGCGGTGAGCTGACCGAGCGCGGCCCTCAGTGGCGGCCCGAGCCGGCGCCGTCCCGGGCGGGGCGGCGTCCTCACCTTCGTACTCGCCGCTCTCCAGCAGATCGCCCGACTGGCGCAGCTTGTTGAACTCGTCTTCCGTCAGAAAGGTGTAGTCGACGCCAGGAACCTGACGACGGCGACCGGAAAACATGTCATCCCAGGTGAACTTATGCCAGGTCACACTGAATGATGACCTACAAAAGAACCATCACAATCAACACCATAAGGGGCATAAGCCGCTGACCCTTCCCCATTTGTCTGATGCCATGGGGTCACCGTCAGCCCGGCAAGAAAATACAATCAAGGAGAAGGGGTTGGTCCTGGGGAAGGAGAGGACGGTTGTTTTTCTTTTTTAATAATTTATTGACACATGACATTAGATGCAGAGAACGACGAAAACGTGCAACGTTTCAACCTTCCACTTCTCACCACGCTAAACACATTCCCACCGATCTAGCTCGCGGCGAGTTCAAAAGCAGGAGAGGACGGATGTAGTTAAACTAGTGTTACCTCGGATCCGTGATGCATGCACAGTACACGATCGGGTACCAACTAATTGAGCGATCACCCTCAGGCCAGTGCTCCACCATCCGACGAGCCTCGAGTCTCCCCTGATCGCCGCCCACATCCACAAGTCTGGCTCAGCCCGTCAGCCCGTCTCACACGTCTCCGGACACCTCTGCGAGCCCAGGGTGTCACGCCGATGTTAAACGTGTCGCACCAGACGACGGACGCGGTGGTTCCTCCCCGTCCCTACGGAGTGGCCGCGCCCGGTGAGACTCAGCCAAATCCACCGGTTGGCCGGGCGGCCGGCGGGCGGCGCCGATTGTATCACTATACGGACACGGTCCGGAGGCCCCCAGCGTGCGTTCTAGAGGTCCGGCGGCCGCAGCTAACGCTCGACAAACACCGGCCGAGTTGCTCTGCATAATGCAGCATTGTAAACGATTAGGTTTGAATGACAGTAAGCCATTCACCACCGCAAATGAATTGGAAAAAGAACAAAACTTTTGTTGCTGTTGTGCTATCGTGTTCATGCATTTAATGGTGGACAAACTCTGTATATTTTACCTCTGACTCCACCTTGCGTCTTGAAGCAAGATGGTGGCACCTGGTAACAATTTTACCCATCTATGGACGAGTAGAAGATAGAGTAGAAGGTAGTACCAAATTTACTTTTTATTTCATCATGATTGCTCGGAGCTTGTCATATAAAGAGCTGAAAGAAGGCACGTGTAAACATAAATTCAAGTCATACAATTTGACATATACCGCATTTTTGGTTTCAGGTCAGATCCTGAGCTGTGTTCGCCGCCGTGACTTGCCGTTGGTAGTGGCTAGGTTAGGCGGTGGTAATTTATATGGCTCTTATGTCGGCAGTGTCGGTTGTATGCAGTGGTAATTTATATATCGCTCCACACCGGCAGTGTCCCGAGTTGTAACTATGGTGGGGGATATACAGTGGTAATTCATATCGCTCTACACCGGCAGTGTCCAGAGCTGCCCGGCCGGCGGTGGCCCACCTCGTCGTCTCGCGGCGGCCGGGTGGTGACTGGGACGGTCCGCTGGTACAGGTGGTCTCGGATCGTGTTCTGCAGCTCATGGTCCACCGAGCCCTTCTTGAACCGGCTCCGAAGGTAGGTGCGCAGGTCACCGGTCAGAGAACCTGAAACGGAACAGAACCGGCGGTCACAAATGCATCCACAGGTCACAGGTCAGTGGTGATCAGAGCTCAGACACCAATACGAAAAACGTAACATTCATAAATAGGTACATACTAGCGAGTGAGCAATTCCAGAGAGGAGTTGACAGTTGACACTCGCAATCGAAGTTGGGCATGTGTCGGCGCAGCGATGCAGTTTATCTGCAGGATCATGCAGTCGGTTCGGGTATTTAACCGATAAGGCTAACAGGCAGGTACCTCACACCCAATCGCAGATAGATAGACGCCACTGGTATCAAAGCTCTTGTCAAGGCGGACGCTCTGCGCGGACCTTTCGATCGAACTCATGTATTATCAAGCCTAAATAGGTATCTATTTAAAATAGACATTTGTCATTTGCATCAGAGGCCTGTTTCACTAAAAACTTGCGATTACAAGTGTTTGAACTTTACAATTCATAAGTATTTTTGCAAACTATGTAAAATCGGATTTCACTAAACTTCATCACCAGTGGCACCTCCGCTAAAAAGAGTTGGTAAATAAACTTGTAAACAGTAAAATTGTTTTTAATCAAGAACTATAACATGTTACAGATATTGCTTCTTTTTATCAAACTATGTCTAGTATTCATGTCAGAAATTGCATGAAAAAAATTAAAAATAATGATGCTGTTTCTGAATGGTATAAATGATAGTTTACAATATCTTATTATTGAAAGAAAATAACACGTAAAACATTTGACAGCAGAAGACTGTTGAATGCAATTGTGGCGCGCGAATGACAAAACATAACGATATTTATTTATTGCTCGTAGCTGGTTCGTAGGGAATGTGCTAAGTGAAAAGGAGCATATAATGACTCAGCATATCATATTTGTTTTAAATAATTGATTGCTTTGCATCATTGCACAAAAAGTAATAAAATTCCAAACGTAAGGGCCACTGGAATTTCGGGTTTGTAAGTACAACGTTTTCTTTCAAGTTTTTGGTCTTCGTGAAACAGAAAGTTTGCGATTTCGATGTTTCTTACAAACTTTTTCCTTGTAAAAATGTTGGTAAATTTTAAACTCAAAATTCATGCCCGAAGGTTTCGTGAAATCCAAATTTCAAATGTTGGTAATTATTTCTTTTAAACTCAAGTTTTTTCTTTGTAATTACACACTTTATTTGTTAGTGAAACAGGCCTCAGACTGCAAGAGCGTATGTCAATGTCTCGCATTTAGCTGGCGATAAGATATTACGATCACCATCATAGGTCCTACCTTTATGCATAGAGTGCAATAATATTTGCACACTGCACGCAGTAAATGCAGGCGAATCACATTTACACAGTCACACAGACCGAAGAGTCAATGTCAATGGTCATGTAACATCCGGTCCAATGCTCGCTATATTAGTTTTTTAATCAGCACATGCATGGTCGGGTTTTACGGTTATGGCTTCACGCGTCCACTTGAAGGAGCGAGTTTGTGACGATGCCATGTCACATCGTGATGCATCGTAGAAATAAGTGAATCGGTAAGCACATTAGGTTTTGCAGTGCAGCAACGACTGCCATCCGCCCCAGAGCTACCAGACCTCAGTCCTCTCTCACAACTCTCTGGAGCGTAATCTAGAGAACATGACCTATGCCATAGACCTGACATTGAACCGCTGAGACCCCATCCACCAGACTCACGACCTTCGAAGGTAATTCAGCGCGCTGTCAAAACACAAAACCACTAACAAGGGCAGTCCATTGGGCTGCTGAATCAATCAGTGTGAGAATTATAGACTAGTCTACAACTCCGGGGTATGTTCACGTCGTAATAAAACTGGACCCGCGAATGAAGCCTTTTAAAGCTCATCACTGCCCCGAGTTTTATTGCCCGTCACTGTTTGGCTCCAATTCCCGACTCCGTGTGACCGTGGAGGACGGATTAGCTGAGGCCGGCGGCCGCGAAACACCGTATCATTGTCTGTTGCGGTCGTGGTCTATCATCCACGAATACGGAGCTGTTAGCCTGTTATACGGGCATCTGGGCTTTCAAACATCTGCAGCCCTAAAAGAAGCAACCGATTCTGCACAACTAAAACCGCGCCTAGCCCCGGGCTCGAAGGAACCTAACATCAATACGGGCGACAAATCACCGACCAATAACCTCCCGGCTCACAATACCAGCGCTTAGGTACTGATTAAATACCATACCGATTACTATATAATCGCTATTGGGTGATATCGCAGCATGTTCCGCCAGCGCCCAGCAGCAGCGGGGAAGTCATGCGGCACAGCATATGTACACTCGGGGGCAGATTGATGTTCCACAACTCTTTATCCACCGGGTTCCTATGGCTCAGCATTGGCAGCAGCCGCCTGGTACCGGTAGACTGTGCCGCTTCACTTACTTGTCAAGCGGCACAGCCTACCCACACCGTATGCCACCGGTCTGGGTCGGTGGATGTAAGGCGATGTGGGCCGCCTGTGACGTCAGCGCAGCGGTGAGGGCCGAGCCCGGAGGCATGGCTCGGGTCGGCGCGGCGCGGCGGCTGGCGAGGGCTGGGGAGTGAGGTGGGGTGGGAGGCGGGAGCACGGACCATCGCGCGGCTGAGCGAGTGTAGTTAACTTTCGCGTCTCAAGGCGCCAATTATTCTACTTAACAATTGTGCTAAAGCAGTTGTTAAAATGTCCTATCCCCAAGACAGCGCCTATCATAATACTTGCCATGCACATTACGACACACTTAAACGTGACATTGGGACAGCCGATAGAATTTATATCACACGTGCATCGAGTTGCGGAGCTACATTGTTTTTAACAGAGATGTATTACGGCCTTGATTGAGCTCATTGGTGTCTATTATTTCGCACAGCAATCGTCCAGAGACGTGGGAACTGGGGTTTTTGGATAGCGCGGCGTCCCAACTCTTATGTTCCTCTAAGGTGTGGTCGCAGCCACCAATAGCAAACCGTTCCATCTAGGAACAAATAAGTCGCGCACCTGGGACGGTTCGAGCCGGGTTTCTCCAACCGATCACCCCACGACGCTAGCCTGTATCCACTGAGCTGCCGAAACCAGCGACCACCCGCCGCGGTCAAACGCGATCAAATGTCACAATATTGTCATTGGCGGTCAGCGGGTGAATGTCATTTTGTTTTGTGCGGTCGAGGACCATTCTCGGTAGCTCAGTGGATGAACGCTCGTGTCGTGAATTGACCGGCGGGAGAAGCCCGGTTCGAACCCCCCTGAGTGGCCGACTTTTTGGCTCCTAGTTGGAACGGTTTGCTATTGGAGGCTGCGACCACATATTAGAGCAACAGTAATAATCGCTTTAAATTGGAGCGTTGGCTGCGGCACTACTCATAACCGCCAGTTCCCACGTCTCTGGACGATTGCCGTGCGAAACAATAGACACCAATCTGCTCAATCAAAGCCTTAATACTAATATGTTATACAAAATATAGCTCCGCACCTCGATGCACGAGTGACATAAGTTCTATCGGCTGTCCCATTGCCACGCTTAAGTGTGTCGTAATGTGCATTGCAAGTATGATGATAGGCGCTGTCTTGGGGATAGGACATTTTAACAACTGCTTTAGCACAATTGTTAGGTAGAATAATTGGCGCCTTGAGATGCGAAAGTTAACTACACTCGCCCAGCCACGCGATGTCCGTGCTCCCACCCCACCTCACTCCCCAGTCCTCGCCAGCCGCCGCGCCGCGCCGACCCGAGCCATGCCTCTGGGCTCGGCCCTCACCGCTGCGCTGACGTCACAGGCGGCCCACATCGCCTTCCAGCCACCGACCCAGACCGGTGTCATACAGGTGGGTAGGCTGTGCCGCTTGACAAGTAAGTGAAGCGGCACAGTCTACCGGTACCAGGCGGCTGCTGCCAATGCTGAGCCATAGGAACCCGGTGGATAAAGAGTTGTGGAACATCAATCTGCCCCCGAGTGTACCTTCAGGCGCGACACGTAGAGCCATCTAGTGACAGATTTGACAATGAAAGCGAGCTTTGTTGTGACCTAACGCTTATTCTACCAGCAGAAAAATTAACGACTGTGGCTGTTTTAGGCTGTCTGTCAAAAGTCCTGAGCGACTTGAGACTACATCAACCGCAGCCGGGATTTTTTTATTGGTAAAACTGACATATGATCCCATCCGTCACCCCCTTCTCAAATGGTCTGCTGAAGAGGGCGACGAAACGAAAAGAGATTTTCGGGTCTTTGGTTTTAGTTGGATTTGTTTTTCATTCCGTTTGCTTGACAAAATTGTAGGTGCCCAGGCTAGATTCTCGTGTTTTTACAAGTGGTACAATGCGTTCAATTAACCCTATTCCTGGCGGGGGGGGGGGCCTCAGGAGCCCCCCCCCCCTGAGGTTTTTTGGTTATATCTCCCAAACGCGTTGAGCTAGGAAGCTCAAATTTTCTGACTTTTCCTAAAAGGCTTCTACGCAACATGTCTGAAAATTTTGAGTTGATCTGACCTCAGGTCAGGTCACCAGAGGCGGTTTGGTGACGCTACCTCAGAAAAGTTTGCAATCACGCCAGAGCTAGAGTTTTTGACCGATCAATTTCTTCTCTTCAGGGTTTAGTTAGGGTACCAGTATGTGCAATTTGTATATCTCGGAATTTTGATATCGGTGACCTAAGGTCAGGTCAATTTCGCGACCTCCCCATTATAAGTCAATGGGGGAAAAATCAACTCCCTGTTTTTACCACTAAAACGGGTCGGAAGGGCCCCATATACCATACATGACTTCATATACGATCAACCTTCACTACCTTGAGGTCTGTTTTGCTGTTGGGCAGCTGTGAGGTCATGTGACGTCATCAAAGGTCACCAAAGGGTTTTGGCCAATAACTCCGTACAGGAACAAGATACAGACGCGTGGATGGTCTCATTGTGTTCAGCTCGTCAAGACGCATCGAATGATATACATGATGACCTCGAGGTCACGTGACCTGAGGTCAACCTTTGACCTTAACCTTTCGAGGTCAACATATATATCATTCGATGCGGATTGA